TTCTTCGGGCCAGTAGAAGTTTCCTCGGGAATCGAACCAACCATGTTCTTGTGAGATCCCCATGTATACCACTCGGCTATCCTGCCACATTTTATTACCAAACAATGCCATATATGGACAATCAATTACTGATGAGATAAACGAGATCTTAGAACACCTTGTTCTACTCGGATCAGCCCGAGTCATTACTGCTCCCCCTCCCTCTCCCCAATATCAAACAGAATGACATTCTGACTTGTAATATTTATTCATAACGAATTCGTTTACAACTACATATACATAAGATATCGAACCATAAAAGGAGAAACGAAAAGATCAACTTACCTATCAGCGAAAACCATTTGCTTCTCTCCTCCACTATCACCAGTTTATATCTTCAACAACAACGGAACAAAGAAAAAACTTTTCTCAACAAGAATGAAACTGAAAGCGCATACCATATTGGGAGAGAGAGTAAAACGCTGATTCAAATGAGTATAAACATGAAATTATCAATTCTCAAACAGGGTTCAACTTTTGCAAAAAACTTTTTGGTCGCGCCATCAGGAAAAGATTTCAAGAAAAAAAACTTTTCTCAACAAGAATGAAACTGAAAGCGCATACCATATTGGGAGAGAGAGTAAAACGCTGATTCGAATGAGTATGAACATGAAATTATCAATTCTCAAACAGGGTTCAACTTTTGCAAAAATACTTTTTGGTCGCGCTATCAGGAAAAGCTTTCAAGAAAAAAAAACTTTTCTCATGATCAACATCTTAAGCGCCCACCACATCGGGAAAGAGAATCAGAAGTCGATTCTAAGAAGTAAAGAAAGAGCTTCAGAAGAGTTACAAATATGAAACGATGCAAGCAAAATGTTGAAAAAAAAATTCAAATAAACGAGGGGCCAATAAGGACTTCCCAGACTTTTTTTCAAAATAATTTCCGAATCGAGGCACAAGAGTGTGAAAAGCAATCAAATAACAAAGCCAGTTAAATTCTGAGAAAAAAAACCAACAGGACCCAACCAACAGGAAGGGGCACCTTGATCTATCCAATCATTATTGATTAACGAAGAAACTGATGAACCTCCCAGTTCTCGCACCGGCTAACCGACAAGAAGCGCGAAGTTGAGAGCTCACATAAAGCTAATAGAAAAACATATTTTTACAAACGTCATTCACCTACGTAGAAGATCGAGCAGAACAGTGCGCTCACTCCAAAATCATAATCAAGGAACACCCCTTACACCAAACGAATGTTGAAACGAGAATCTCTGAACAGTGAAAACCGAAAATAGACAAAAAAAAATGACACATAAGAAACTTTACAAGAAAAAAGAAACTTGAGGGGAAATTTGGGATCACCGATATGGGACAACCAATCAATAGTTTTGAAAATGAAGGGAGAAAAAGAACAAATGGTTTAACATTCCCCAAAAGAAACTGTTCCCGAACTTCGAAAGAATCGATGAAGCATTAAACAGTCAAACAAGGATTTACTCAGATAAACCACAATCTTTGATAGATCTGAGAATGGAGAAAATAAACAAACACGAAAACAGAAGTGGGGTTGTTCAAAGAAAAGACGAAGGTTTTCAATTTTCTAGAAACCAAAGTTTCATTCTCTTAGAAATCAATCGATCGAGATAAATAATATCCGAGCCAGCCTCAGTACCATGCTAAGAGTAAATGAGGTTGTGATATAACCAGGATTCAAACTACAACTCTCATAATGAACTCACAGAACAATTAGAAAATGAAAAAAAGACAACCAATCTGTTTCTTAGTAAGATGAAGTGTATGGCAAGTGATAGTTGATGATCATGTTCTAGAAAAATGTGTAGTAAGAATCGGAAGCACGACCGATAACAGCGATTCACTTCTGCTTCAATGAAATGATTCAGTTTTCATTTTCATGTGCCGCTTTTATGCAGAGCAGTCGTGCATATGGGACTTGAGAAGTCCAAGACAGAATGCAGAAGCAAAGAAGTTAATTGTGTTAAAACATATTGAATATAACAAGGCCGTGAAACGGTCGTCTTCTTCTGCTCCTGCCTGAGAAGCTGTGTTCAACGATTAGAGCATTTCATCTTTATAAATGATAGTAAGCATTGAACCATTTATGGATTAGTTTTATGCGCTGAAAAACTTAAGCCACCATTCTGAAATCTGATGGCATTGAAATATTTCTCTTATATCATTAGAAAAAAAACTATTTCCATCTCTTTTGAAACTGTCTATTAACATAATCAGGGAGAAGCTTACCATTCTCATCAGTTTACTTTTGAGAGGGGAATCTGGTGACTCATGCGATTAATAACTGCAAATCTATTATAAATCTACTGTGTAGGGGTGAAAACATCAAGCGGTTTATAGAGTGTGATACTGAATAGATCAGCGACAAGACCTCGATGCTGATATGGAAGGAAACATTGTGCGACAAAAAACATTGTGCAACATAAAAATCACTCTGAACAACCTCCAAATGGTTGTTCGTGAGAGCGTCAAGGCTCTGAAACATTTAAGGTACAACCATATCTTCGCTGATCCCTGTTGGCATCTCAAAGCTTCAACAGTTTTATAGCAGTTATTTGACGATAAAGAGATGCAAGTTTGGGCCTAGCACCTAGCAGATTAACGCCTTATTTGTCTTCATGAGCGAAAATGAGCACACAATACGATAGCTGATAGAACCAGGATCAATTATTTGTTTGTTTTCCTCATAAACTACATTCATTTGTATCGGGAATAGAAGGAAATGAATGCTAATGCTAGAACAAGAAAAGTCACAAATTCTGTTCTGTTCCCAAAATCAGTTCCGAATTTCTATTTAAACACTTCATGAGGCAGAATGAATGTTATGGCAAGAATTGAATCACAATAATGAATTCCAGCTGAATCATATCTTTCATACGTGAAATGAATAGATGATTACACATTTACGAAAACTATATAATGACCTATTTACCACAAAGTTTTCTAACAATTATCTCAATCCATAATACTAAAACACACAAATTCCTTTGCGGCATGACGCCATTCGCTCTTTTTATGTTTCAAAATGTTATATAATATAACTATTCAATTTCAACAGTTTCTTCTTGAAAACTATTTTCCTAGTCATTTCTAACTATTGTGGAAACATATTCAAAAGTTATAACAGAAAAATGAGAATAACAATGACTGTTTGGCGGTTTTGGGTAACGCTATGAGTCGGGAGCCAAACCACATGGAGACAGACGGAGTTTGTCTAGTATACGCAATAAAGGACTATCCCTAGTTATACTGGTATACGATAACCATTCGAGCACGGTATCCGTTGATAACAATATGTGATAACCTATGAATATAACTGTTCAATGATGAACTCTAACAAATTTCTAGTATCAATAATCATCATGAATCTTTTGTGGTGTTGATTGATTTGTTCTGCCAATACATGAGAGACGGAGGAAAAGCAAATATAACTGAGTAACATGGCTGTCCTCAACCATCCACAACATAGCTTCTCGTCGTTACGACTCTATTTTTAGATTCCGCCTTCCATTATTCGATCCTCTTCATTCCTGTACATAATTTTTTTAACGTTTCAATGTCTGATGTGTAAGCTGTACTTTTCTGACCACACAATATGGCAAACAAACTCTCCTTTTACATATTTATTGGCAAAGTAAATGAAATTTCGAGTTCACCTCAAGAACTTATTAACATTCTTCCTCTGCCTAATCAATATGTTGTACGTAAATGGTTTTTTTGAGACGAAAAATATTTGTTTCGGATCACATGAGTCTGCTTACGAACCGCAGACTTTTCCTCCTTACCTTTCGTTTTTCGACATCTTGTTTGCTCAAGTGTTTCCTATTCTTTTTCCTTTCCGGTTTCTTCGTATTCAAATTATTTGTGTTCGTATATGTTTTACGAATTTTTTTATCCCAATCTCGCTGACTTATTCAAAACTAAAAATAGACGAAGTAACGTTGGATATCTTATCTCCCTCACAACGAAATTTTGCATTTCACACCTTTTCATCTATTCAAACGGCTAAAAATAATAATAATAGAGTAGATAAGACATTTGTTTGGTAAAGATAACAAATTCGTGAGGAGATTCATTCAAATTCATAATTTCTTATGCTATATGACAATTACCTCAATAACTCTGTCATTACTGTCTGGCTTGTTTCTCCTAGCTGCATGTTCGTCAGCTAGGGTATTCCTAGTTCCTTCCAGACAAATAGACATAACTGAGTCAGAAGCTGAGATTTTGAGTTAACAGTTCGGCATTTTCAACGAGAAAATTAAACAAATCTTGATACAATTGTTGATATAACAAGACGATGTCTTGTAAGCACAAAAACTTTTCGTCTTTTTGACAGTTAGGCCGTTAAAATAAAGGATTTTTGCCATATTTCTATAAGTATCCATATCTTTCAACTATTACTGATGCTTTGATTGAAATTCAAATAAATATTTACATTAGTATGAATCAGAAGAAAAGGGTCGATGATGATGAAGAAGACCTTTTTCTGGCAGACATTTCTGTCCTTGTTAAATGTCGTGTGTGAACATCTTTGTTTATTCTTGTATACGATACAAGGACCTTCTTTTTTGCTCATTTGCATATTCATGATTAATCTAATAAGAATCAATGAGACAGCTATTCTAGTTGATAAACTCTTTGAACTGTTTATTTCATTTGTTATTATTAATTCTCTTAACCGTTTCAACTTCCTTGTTATTCCTCCATTTACTTCTCATTTGTTTATCATCTTATTAATTTTCGTTAAATGATTACATGGATTCATATGTGCTTTACCATGACAAAGCATAAAGCCAAATTGCGCTTTGTCCACCTAATCGTAATTTTTGTGATCACGAGCGGTCAGGCTTGCATGCTTGTGAGGCATATATGGCCATGACCATACATGAATGGTCCGTCCTCTCTTTTCCTTTCCTCATGCTGTACATTGATTTGACTATTTACTTAGCCATAAATCGAGTCTTAGGATCAATTGACGCCTCGTTTCGTTCCGAAGACCTTAGCCGACAGCCGCCCATTTTTGGAAATATTTATATTTGTACACATCTCTCATCTATGACAAAAACTTTTCATCTTAATGAAAACAATAGAAAAGTTAGTGGGTCTATGTCTCATGAATGTGAGCAATCTCTAATGCACTTGTAATCTATTCATTTCTTATCATAATGTATTAAACTTACATGTTTCTTACTATTAACATATAGTTGTCAGTAATTATATGTTAACATGGTCGAATAGAAGCATAAGAAGAAGACGATCATCTCTTACTCATTTAAGATGTTTTTAACAAATTTGTTGTTTGTTTTTATTCATTTTCATCTTCCCCTTCTACAACACCATCTGTATTCTAATGACTCATTCAAATTACGTGGATTTCCGTCCGTCAGATACTTTTCTCATTTTATATTCTGTTAGATGCAGTGAGCGGTTGATATCATAGTCCAGCCCATTCAATATTAGATTTCTTAATCTTCCCCTCTCCTCTCTTTTTCTTGTTTACTACAGTATTCTCTTGCTTTATATGTATTTTTCTTTATCGAAATATCTATTGCTCTTTTCTATCAGTTTTCAACCTCATATCAGATAGCTTTTCAAGTTTTTTTTCTTTCGCTGCTCTTTGTGATTCATCTACGTTTTCCCGATTCGCGTAAATCATACTATGGAAATCGTATGCAAAAAAAAATAGAAAAAAAAATGTTTTCTTTCTCTATTCCGTCTGAGAACATGATCTAGACACAATCATTTGCATAATTTCTTTCTCCTTTTTCTGTCTTTTATTTATATGATTCGATTGCTCTTAAACATTTTAAGGCATGGAGTTGCTCTTATCATTAAACCACCCAATATAATTTCCATCAATCAATATTATATTCTATTCAATTGGTTGTTAAAGCACTTAAAGCTGGGAATATCCGAAAGGAACTGAGCATGATTCACACAATTTCATCCTTCTATTATTCATATTTTTCATAACAACATGGCTTAAACAAATACAATTGAAGATTGCCGTATAGTCAGACGGTCAATCCCCGCATTCCATGGATTTTGAATTGATTGATCATAGCTGCATCCTTTTCTTGAACAAAACATAAGAAAATGATTGTTTTTATGAAGAAAATCGGAAGTTTGATCAGTGTAATTACTACTTAATAGGCGAATTGCTTATCGTTTTTTTGTTAAAAAGCATGTTTGTTTGATTTAAAATGTTTTATTTACTTGACTCATTGTTTTTCAAACTATGTCCACATCATGCGTTTTAATATAAATTTCAACATCTTATAGCCTTATGCTGCAAGATGTATTTCTCTAGAATACTCATTTGAGGACAAATAAGACATTCTTGAGAGTTCATGATATTGTTTGGAAGAAGTTAGTGTGTATCTCGTTGTCTGATTCATCACAAGCGACTTCCTTTCCTCCACCTACGCCTTTCTATTGCTCATAACGAACCTTATGAAGATGATGGTTTACATATATACTTATATAGTTACAAAAGAAATATTGAGAGTGTGTGAGAGACGAGACGAGAAATACTTCACCATGATACAGGGAGAAATGATAGACGCAATGTGAGGGAAACTCTTATAGATAGTTGGTTCTATTATGAACAAGCAAACGAGCCCGCAAGCTTTAAAGCCTGTGGGTTCTGATAACAGATAGCATTGATTTCGCAGGTCTAGCTTAGTCATTTCTTGCTCTGTTTATAAAACATCTTGTCATTTTTTAAACATTTTCCTTTCTCTCGCTACTTCTAATCATTAGCTTTACTGAAAGTGTTTTTTCTTTCAGTTACTTCATGAGGGAACCTTGGGTTCGACAGTCCTATCTAATATTAGCTTTACTCATAAGCAGCACATTAGCACAAGTTCAACAGTCTCCGAACAATGTTCAAAATCAGAATGTAGGGGCTCCAGAAGGAGCATCGTTATTCACTGGGACTGGAACCAACCCATACTATGGAGGTACATCATTTCGTGCTTTATCTCTCGTTTATGTTATTATGGAATTTATAGATAATTTGGTTCCCTTTGGTCCTGAAGTAGGTGATCTTGAGGTGAATCCCGGCCTACTCACAGGTGGTCAAACGATTGACCTGCACATGTTCTTCCCTTTCTATGGAGGACTTTATAACTACACCTCTGTTAGTTAAATTTTAATATTCAATGAATCCCTCTCCTTCATTAAGATTTCGGTTAACGGGCACATTGCTTTTGCCACAGTCATGGACCAGGGGCCAACTATTAATGTCGGTCCTGATATGACAGATTGGCCCAGGCTTCAAGATCCAGCTATGATAGCTCCATATTTGTGTAAACAACAGGTTCCAACTGGAATATGATGGTATTTCACATATTTATTTTAGATTCCTCAAGATGGTAATCCTGGACTGCGATCAGGAGTTTTTTATCGTCTCATGATGAGGCAATCCTTGTTTGGAAGGGGATCAAACAATAACCTAAACTACGGATCTATCCAGCCTTCCTCATTCTTTCAGCAATCAGCTCAACTTGTAAATATACTGACTTGATTATTTGATTTGAAAAAAATCATTTAGGCTTGCAAGGGAGCAGCAGACAAATATGTAAGATGTGATTCCAATTCTGATTACTTTTTGGATGAAATGATGAGACTTCTACAAGGTTCTTTGCTTTACACGTTCAGCTAGTTCACTTGAAAATTCAGATGGAGTCGTGGGAGCTTCAGCATTCCGAGCAGATGCTGCTTTAGTTGTTACATGGTACAATACTGCTTCAGCGATTTCTGGTCGATCTGATATTGATGTTGGACAGTTGGCCACTTATCAGCTTGTTTGGTTAACTGACGAGGTTTGTTTCAAATTTATGTGCAAATATAGTTTTTATATTATCACTTGAATCAATTGACCAAGTGAAAAGGCTTAAGGTGTGAGGAGCATCCCTTATCTCACTCAATTGCATTAATCGCCTTAAATAGTGTAATCAGTCACACATCATTACAATAACAGTTCTTTAAAAATTGTCCATTTCAAAGAATCTCACATTACACAAACTCTTAAGGCTGCAAGATTGAGTTATGTTATCTTGAACTACAACAAACTTGGTTTCGATGCTGCAGACTTCCGAGCAAACTCAAGAAGTGGTAGATGTCAGGTAATATAAAGGTTTCATATTTGTAAACATCAAATTGTCGTAAACGTTATAGTCTATGGCTATTTCGTCATTTACGATGATTCAGTTATCCAAATAAGGCTATCTTACATTCTCTCAGATAGTTGCCATTCACAAATTAGCATAACTCATACTCTTAGCTAACACCGATTTGAATCGGAATGCAACTGCTCTATTCAAAATAATTGAGAAAAATAAAGACACCTGAAAATCCACGTCACGTTATTCTTATCATGACTAGAAATCATTTATTTACGACTCTTATATCTCAGATGAAATTGAAAAATGTTTCTAAACAACGTTTATCCGTACATTACAGGCACTTTTCAATGGAGGAAACCATACAGGAACTGTACCTGTTGATCCCACCCAAATGTACAAAAACACACCAAAAGTACTTGCTCAGAGATCAGCACTTCCTCATTGGGGCAGAGGACGTTATGTTTTCCGTGTTGATGACGTAGTTAGACCCGGAGGTTGCAGTAACAAAACCGGAGGAACATGTAAAGACTTCATCACGAAACTCATACTTATCCAATTCTATAACAGATCCTATGCTGATTTATCCAAATATCGTTAACATGCTTGGAGAAATGACTGTTGATGTAAATGCTATTTGTCTTGATAGCACCCAAACATACGTATTGATGATTGAACAACGTCAAGCGGCCTCTTGCATAGTGCTCAACCCATCAATTGCTCGTTGTCATTTACCAAAAATTTACGATTGGGGAACCAAGACTGTCTATTTCCAACCTCAGAATGGTGGGGCAAACGATGAAAAAGCCTTCGTTGGATACATCTACTTCGGTTCGTCTCATGAGTTTGATAATTCATCAATAATCTCTTCTAGTTCCTCCAACATTAGATCCAATGAGGCTGGATATCGGAAATGTATACGATTGGTTCAAAAATCCTGTTCCATATAGCGTAACGTTAAGTGATTCATCATTTAAATATTTCAACTCTTCAGGTCATGCCTTTAACTTGGTATCCTCGTAATTTCACAAATCCTGACTTCATGACCCATACTCAGTCAATGAGATTGGGAGACGACTCCATTTACAGTGTACAACTGGGATTGTATGTAGTTGGATACAGAGAGTTCAAAGACGACGGAGTATGAATGGCTTATTCTTGAGAATATACTCATGTTTCTTTTCAGATCAAAAAGTTCAGACCTGAACATCGTGTGCTTTGTCGCCTTGCTACTTATAGTAATCGCAACACCTATGAGTATCGGTGGAAGCCTCAAGAAGAACGCATCAACTTGTATCAAGTAAGATTAAGTTGAATTCAATAAGCATTATTTTAATACATAAAGGTTGAACAATGGTACCTGAATGATTGGCAACGAATGAACGATCTCTTCAACTACAGATTTGGATATCTGAAGTTGGCGCCCATTAAGCCTAACAGTGATACAACACTTAACAGCCAGCCAACTCTTCTGTCAGGGTAATACTTTCATTATTTATATAAAGTTGAAACAATGAAATATTAAGATTGGTCTCTGCTCCAATTTCACTTCATTGGCTTTGGACTACTGATAACCCGAAGTTCCGAGGAACTACTTTCAACGCAAACGACGAATCTACTCGAGTTGATTTCGTAAAGAAGAAGTCTTTGGAAATGTGCCACGATTGGTTAGTATTGCAAAGTTTAAGACTATATATATCCACGCTTAAGGTATAACGAAGATGGAGCTCAATGGAACTTCATTCGCGATACTGAAACCAACTCATCTTGTCCTTGCACTGAACGTCAAGCCATTGCTGATCTCGGTCGCTTCATGCCTCACCCTCGTTGTTCTCAAGTAAGTCTCGCTTCGTATGATATAAATAAAATGTCCTTAAGGCTTTCCGTGACGTCACTTGTACGACAGCTATTGGAGCTCGAAATTGCTACATGTCAGCACAAAACGTTTATGGATCTTACGCTGGTAATGGTAGACATTTCTCCAGCGAGAACACAGCGTATGTTTATCCGTGTCCGAAGACTTTTTAGAAAAACTATCTTGCAGACGTTTCCCAACCCATTATGGTCAAGTCTGTTGCTACGACGACGTCGGACATTTGATGCAAACGAGTTATCAACCTGTCATCAAGGTAGTCAGAAGTGTATATGATCTCTATAAACAGTTTCATGTAGGTAACACCGGAAGTTCCTTATAATCCTGGTTTCCCAATGCGAGCTTATGAGTTCGGAACATCGCCGTACATGGGGCAGTATGAAGTTAGTTCAGGTTAAGCAAAATAACAAAAATTATTAATATTAGGTACCTGGCTTATCGGCGTTCCACAATGATTACATGCCTTATTTCCTTTGCTGTAAATTTGCTGATTTCCGTTGTCAAATGTTTTACTGGAGGAGACCATCCAGTGGTTGTCAAGAGTATCAGCCTCCAGCTTATGGTTGGGCTTATTAGCATTCCTTTCGAGCTAAAGTTATATTGTTTAGGTGAGGGAATGGGTGCTGGAACATTCAACACTATTGACAATGACAAGTTTGTGTTCAATGAACCAGGAGTATTCAATTACTTATACATCCCACAAACACAAATTTCACCTGAAGTCAAAGTTCAAGTTAGAATTGAACGATATCCAAATCGTCGAGTAGATTTCAGTGAGTTATGAAAACTGGTTTCAATCTAACTTTCTTCATAATTAGGTTTGCTCGGACGCTATATGGGCCAATCTGATTTAGTCCAACCAACAAACGTAACAGTTATAACTGGTGTAGCTCTTGAAGCCACTGGAACTGACAGAGTTCATATTCTGGCAAGGAAAGATACTCGTCGCTTCCGTTATCGAACCAGTATCATAGTCGGCAACATCCTCCGTTATTTCGATACAATGCGAATTCAAAGATTCAAAGGTGTTTTCTACTTGTTTATCGAGTTAATGAGACGGAAATTTCAGGTGTCTTGGTTTACGTGAATAACGTTGAAAGAGGTCAACCGGAAATCTATGCTGTTTTGGAAGAAGCCCAAATCGGTATCAGAGTTCGCGAATCTTATGCTTTGGATATTGATCGACTTTCGAACTATCAAGAAAGTATGGGATTACTCAATGTCGCTCTGAGTGTTCCTCCTCAATATGGAGTTGTAAGTTAACCCTTGTTAGATGCGTTTGAGTAGGAAACGTTTCCAGAGACCTGATGGAGATAAAACTCGTGAAGTAGAATCGCGACAACGCTATAACCTCCCTAGAGTTACTGGGTTGATGCGTCCATTCCCTGACCAAACATCCAATAGTTACATGCAATCTCTGACTATCAACGACGTTAACTCTGAGCAGTATCGTCAGCAAATTATCAATATGTGTAAGTCAAAAACGAAGCTGGAAAAATGATTGAATTTGTCTTCCAGATCGCGTTCAAGGCTCTGGAGAATCTGGTAGTGAACAATCACTCTCCGCATCCAATAACCAAGGCCTTCCAACTGATAACATGTTCACAACTAGTAGAGATGAAGATAAGAAATTCGAGGTAGCTTGTTAGATCATTTGATTAACGAAACATCTGATTCAAGGTGTTCCCCGAAGCGGCTATGAAGAGTGGTCCAATTTACCAGACAGCGCCTAAGTACCACACGTTCGTAATCTTGTTGAGAAAATTCTAATGATTCTAATTTTTAGTGGAATCTGGAGATTCTATCCCATAACAGGAATGTCTCTGAACCAAAAGCTCCAGAACTGTCGTGACCTTCAAACACAACCTAACAGTACGTTTCGTAGTTTCAGAACTTTCTCACACTACTTCTCTTTTTCAGTTAACCAACAACCACTCCAATCACAACTCACGGAATCCTACGGAATGTCTCAATGTCCAGATAATCCAGGAGCAATCATAACAGAATGTGGAGACAGTGTTTCTTGCGAATTTGATTACACCACTTTGAACTCACGGGTTTTCTACAATTTCAAAAATTAGTACTAACTACTTGTTTAGGTTCTTGGAACCTCCATCAAAGACCAATGGAACATTTTCACAACAGAGCGAATGGATGCGACCCGATCATGTAAGTTGGATAACCATGAGCTCCCACTTATTCTAAATTTCAGATAACAGTTGTGGTCCTATCAATATAGAATACCCAGAATATCTTATGAAAACGTCGGCCATGTACTCTGCTTATCTGAGTGGAGATGTAGCTCGCTTCGAATGCTTCCAATCTCACTGGATTAAAGGAACTCATGAGTACAAATGTAAAAAGGATTTCAATTCACCTTTTAATCAACTGGATTTGTTTAGGCGGAATCGTTGTGGATAGAAACCGTCCAAATGAATACAGATTCGAATGGAACAAGGGAGATCAACCATGGTGCAGATCTCGTGAAAAAGAGAATTTCCTCACTTGGCTGGCTGCCATTCTTGGCACCTTAGGAGTTATATTGGTGAGCACACTATAAAGAGATAGCGGTTTACGAAGACGCTTAGGCAATCATGTTCATTTTCTTGTGTTGTTGGTGTATGAAAGTTCAACGGAAAGCGGAGATGGAGAAAAACAACTCTAGCAATTCGAACAATTCCATTCTCGACAAGAGTTCCTATAAAAGAGATCAAATGGTAGAGATAACCAAAAAGTACTGAAATGTATCGTTATGTTTCAGCTGTTTGAAAACGAACCACTTCAAGAAAAGGATACATACCGAACAACAAATCTCGAAGATGATGCCTACACCCCGACAAGGTTGGCAATAATGCGATTGAAAACTTTCTAAAAAAACATTTTTCAGAAACAACAGAGCTAGAAATTCTCAACTGTCGACTCCTGATCCTCGTTCCTTTGGTTATCAAACAAGCATATAAAGGACTTAATGGATTGGCGTCATAAAACTATTCCATGATCTCCACCAAATTGCTTTTCATTTATACTTAGCTGAAATTGTTTCAATTATTTATAACATATTTCTCTTGAGGAATCTAATAACTTTTCGCTGCTGAAAGCTGTTTCCATTATCTAGCAGGTACCTGCATGGTGAAAACATATCAAAACTGTGTTGCTCCTTAGGGTTATCAAAAGTCGTTATGTTGACGCATTTTATCATTACAATCTACTCTTTGTATATCCCATGACTGATGATGATGATCAATTTCTTTCTTAAATCTAAGATAATTTGTTTTACTTTTATATTCTTACCATATTCGAACGGATTCATAAATATTCTCAAATAGTTATCTCCAGCTTCAAGAATAGAACCTCATAACAACTGTAAAGCTAGTTACTTCATCAGATATTCTAGGCTAACCCTGGAAATATTAAGATGAACGTCCTGATTCTCAAACTCCTTTCTTTCTGGGGGATCTTTTTACCTTTTCACGATTTCTTTGTCGAACTGTTTCTTGTCTCGATCCTCATCTCACACATTGCTTATCTATGGTTTCATCGACCCGATTTCTAAGAAATTTTTATATCTGGCCGTCCTCTTTTTGTCTCTATCCACGTCTTCGAAATCAAGTGACCATATTTGTTGGAAAGAGCTTCCTTCTTCAATTGCTTCTATGGGGAATCTGTAATGTCATCATCACTACTCATGAGAAATTTATATACATCTACCACGGCTAGGTAAGCCTCCTATTCTTGATTATTTTATTATATGGATATACGCGATTACAGTGCTGCTTTTTATGTTGTATGCTCGACATTTTGCTCCTTGTTAGGCAAAGTTATCGTCACAAGGTTTTTCTTTGATTATCCCACCGTCATTCTGCTTCTGCAAAATGCAACATCACTCTTTATAATCGAAGTCTTAAGGTACATTCCTGTATCCTATTCAATTGAAAGCAATTGTTCAGAATCATTAATGTATTGAAAATATCTCCTTATTCATTTGATCGTGGCAGACATGTTATGTTACCATCAATGCTCCTCTGCTTCTCCCAGTGGATAACTGTCTGTTCATTTGAAGGCATTGGACTACCTGTATTTGACTCCATGAAAAGGTACTATTTATGAAAAATGATGAAGACTCACGATTTTGTAGACTCACTGCTCCTTTAATCATTATTGTCTCTATATTCATTCATAAACAATCCCGGTACGACAAGCATCAAGTTGCTGCTGTTGTAGCTTTATCACTCATATCGTTCATCACAGGTGAGACACAGCAAGACATAGTCCATTTACCATTCTATTGTTAAGTTAATTTGGAAATGTCATTGGACCGTTACTCTTTCATGTACGGGATCATTGCCGCACTCTTCCAGGCAATAGCATACGTTCATTTTGAGAGATTATCTCAGAACTTCGAGGTAAAACTGAAAAATAGATAAAAAAAAAACTATCAGAGGCTTCAGGCATCTGAACTTGTCTACTTACATTGCTTCAACTCATTAGTCGTTTACTTGATTGCTGACATCGTACAAGTGGGTTCTATCTAATAAATATCTCTTGTGATTCTTCCATCTAGGATGAGATCCGTGATTCTTTCATGTTCATGATGACATCCGCTCACCCTCTGTTCTCCGGCGTTTTTTTGATTCTACTTTTTTCATCCCTTCCTCTACATTATGCCACCTTCTACACTATCCAACACTTAGGAGCCCTTAACACACAAGTTATTAGTAATATTCGTGCTGCCTTCCAGGTATACAGATGTTTTGAAAACACACCTATTATAACGAGCTTTTAGATCTTGATCGCATACGCCTTCTCCATCTACATGTTCTATGGTGTTGGCTTCGGAATCATGAACTACCTTGGACTTCTTGCGATTATCCCAACAGCATACTATTGCTTTTTGACTTTTAGAAATGATACATCTTTAAAAATGCCCTGGGCAACTAAGGCTTGATTGGAACAGTGGAGAATTTCAATTCAACAAGAATAATTTTTGATACAGAGTTCCAAAAGATTAATAAAATTTATTTTCATACATTATTTCTGCTCTTAATTATAACCGCTAAAAACGCGTGTTCCAAGTGAAGTGAACACGGAAACTCTTACCAACTTTAATCTACTTGACTAGGCGTATTGAGAAAAGCACAACGGAAAGCAACCGAGAAAATAAATTAAAACGGGAAAAAACATAGAAATCTTTCAAAAAACCCAAAGTAATGGATGAAACACTGGTAAACCTGGAATGGAAAATGACATGGAATATTATTGCCAGATTAATATTATATTAGTTCTTTAAAAACAGTGATTTACCATCCCTTAGGACGAGGGGGCACAGTTGGCAAATTTGGGCGGGGAGGTGGTGGTGGTGGAGCAGGACGATTAGGTATGACTGGAACTGCGTTTTGCATTATTTGCGGGGGCGCGGATGTTTGCGTATTATTAACAGTGCGCATTGAGAGTTGTTCGAAATCAGCGAAAAGTACTGGATTTGAACCTCTATTTGGGAGCGATGACGAAAATGGTGATGAGCTTCTGAAAAAACTGATCAGGTTTAACAATACGGACAAACAAACCGGTTGTCAACAGGCCAGTCTAAATCTGCCAAAGCTGTAGAAGAGCCCTGTTGAGGAATCCTTTCGCTTCTTCCGGATGCAGGTCTGGGTCGGTCTGGTACCGATCCCGGAGCTAGACTAGCGATTTCATCATCATCTGGTATCGAAAAGTTAAATGAATAACGGATGGAAAACTACCATCAAATTCAAAAGTAGCAACAGTTCCTGAATTATCTTCTTGCGGAGTAAACAAATCTTTTTGGTCGAACATCGTCGAATCAATATTAAGATTATCTGTCCAAGAGGGAGACTTCAAAACCACAGTCAGTGTTCTTCGATCGGCTTTAAAATCATAGTTTGAATTCTTAAAACTGCCAATCATACCTCCTATTGGCACTCCGTCCATGCTTAAAGCAGCTAAAGCTGATTCACCAGAATCCAGAATAATCCACAAGAAGTTATCTTCATATCTTAAGTTATTAAATATGATGGGTTAACTTTTAAAACATTCTCACTTGCTCGCTAAAACAACAGCATTCAATTCCATTAATTTTTGAACTATGTCCCCATATGCAGTATGTGGGAAACGGCTAACTCCTTCGAATGAACACAAGATTGTACCGTCAGGTGGGCCCATAGAGCTGAAGAAACAATCATACGATAGTCATCCATGTTCATAATTTAGTATGTACCTCAGTACATCTTCGAATAGAACAGCACATTTCAAAGCTTCCACTTTGTACGCATTAATACTGAACAGTGATCCAACAGGTCGATGATCAGAAGTTTTGATTTCGGAACGATAATACCTTGATTATTTGACATTAAAATTAATGATAGAATATCTATTTTACCTCAATAACTGAGTATCTCGAGCATTTCTATCATCTTTCCATAAGACTCTATCTGTCCATGCCGGTGTTCGACATTTTTCACTCGTGTCATAATCATCACTGAACGTGTCGTACTTGTATGTTGGTGCAAATGTGAGCTTTCCTTCGCTGAATCCAACAAAAGTCTAGAAAAGAAAGTGATGGACAGAAGGAAGCCTAACTCACATTTCCCATAGCTTTTTGTTGCGTCAGTTGATCATTCGGCACTAACTGTTCGAGCTGATTATTAGCTACTGCTCTTTTGACTTCTTCTCCTCCGAGATTTATCCTAACCATTATCATCTATTTTGTATGAGATTTTTTCCCGATTACCTGTAGTTGAAATCACCCAACCAAAAAACAACATCGCAAGATTCTACGTCTCGCCCTTGAGCAAATCTAATTTTTTTCAATGCACTTTGATAGTCTTCGTTGCGATCTTTCACCTGTGAAACAAGAATGTTATGTTGAGCTAAAGCTAATTTTACCTCATTCTGTCCCGCAGCAAAGTGAGAGCACACAAAACATACACTAGTTGAATGCACTACCATGCGGAACGCAACTGAGCCCTAGAGAGAACCTGATCATGAAACTCATACGTTTACTAAATTACCTTGTTTCCAGTCGTTCCTCCCATTCCCGTTTTCACTGAGGAAACGGAAAAATCTTTCATGAACGGTGCCAAATGATTACGAACGAAGAGAAACAAACAGACTCCGACCTAGAATATGAACTATAAGCACCTAGAGCTTGACTTACTAGTTGTTCACAAGCAACCATAATATAGGAAGCTTTCTCTAATAATGTTTTTCTGATCGACTCTGTCCATACACGCTGGTTGGTCAAGCTATAGTTCGAGTTTATAACGAGTCTGCATCGATAAAATACGATACCTCGTTTTCATCATGTTAGTTGCATTCAAATCTACCAACTCTTCTACACCAATAGCAACCACATCAGGCAGTTCATCCAATTCATCCACACATACTTAAACTTTCAGTATAATGAACATTGATAAGTTCTCAAAACCTAAGCTGGCTCTATTGAATATCCAATCAGATATATTTGCTTCACTACGAAAAGCAACATTATGGATGTTTTTTCCACCATTGACGTTCCATGTTCCAACAAATATTTTTATAGGGTTGGGAATAGTGACCTCTTTAGATCTCTCTACCAGCTGAGCTACAGCATTGGCATACTCTGAAATCCGAAAATGAATAAAGCGTAACCAACAATTGCAACAATAATAACAAATTCAAATTACAACACGTGTTTACCACAACATTTAGACTTACCATGAAAATAATAGTTAGCTAAAACTTTGAAATGGAACAAGTAAGGAAAAAGTATGTACCTTGAATAACATTTGATGGAAACAGGTTAGAGGCTTTGTCAAAAAGCTTTGAATCGAAGGAGCATCCAGCCAAGAAAAGGTCGAACGACTCTTGTTTAGAACCATCCATAAGATTGTTTTGAATAGTACGAGCAATGGATCGCGATGCGTCTTTCAACTGTTACAGAGAAGTGAGATTTGTTTCCAAACTTACGCCTTACCTTGTTCTTTCCATCTAATGCACCAGTACCTGCATATATAGTACTGCATTGGTCTCCGTTTTTCTGCCATAGATCTTTCAAAATTTCTTCTATTCTTTGTTGGATATTCACTTTTCCAGCATCAAGATCCAACGATGCTACTTGCGCTCCCACAGTCTGAAGATGTTTTGAATTTCGAACAAATACCTAGAACATACCGAAAGCCCAACGATCGTCTGAACAGAATTCGTTCTGTCTAAACAATCCAAACAGTTTACGCGTAAAACACCATGCTGTTGTCTATTAGAGAAAAAAAGTTTAAAATGAATATGAGAGCTCTTACCTTTTGACGCTTCCTCCAGAAAACACTGTGAAGCCGAATCGTTGTTGATGAGGTTGTAACTTCGTTTTCAGAATATTGATAGCATCTTTGGATGACTTAGTTTGAGCGTGATAATCAAAGTCGATGAAATCAATCTGATCAGACATTTTAGTGCTTTTATGTTGTTTCTGAAAAAGCCATTGAAGAGCCAAACATAATCAATGATGTACTCTGAAAGCCTCAGCGAGCATTCTTTCTCCCTCTTTATGTCCTAAGAGATTAACAACTACGGCATCTTCGTAAGTCTCCAGAAGCCCAGACATGTGTCTAAGATTTCACTTGAGATAAAAACTATTCATGAATAATACCTATGGTAAGCTGGAGCACTTGCTTCGAAAGCCCGTAATTTAACCTTATGTGAGCCAACCTATGAAAAACATATATGAGAATCATGAAACTTGTGAAAAAAAATACCTGCACGCCTGGCTGCTCCCAGAACAAAGGAATCGACCCTCTTACTTGTATAAGAGAGCTTTCACAATCATCGAACACAATCAACTGAATCAAACATTTTTCTAGCTAATTTAGTTCTAATTTACCTGTTCTGTTTCTACAAAATTAGCTACATGCCCTAGATGGTTTGCCCCACGAACATTGAAGCGCGTTCCTACTCGTTCACAGCTTAATCGTGAAACCAGTGCAACACGTCCGGTTCTATGTCCAACATAAACAGTTCTTACTAGAACAGATCTGAAATCAAATCATCGAAGACATTACTTTTATGAAATTAATATGAACAACCGCTCATCGTGTTAAAATGAAAAATCTCAACTCGCAGATTTGTTTTCATTTCAACTACGTGAAAAACGTGAAGAATGAATATGCTAATTATGCAGACAACAGAAAGCTACGATGAATAATTAGCTTACCCAGCCATGCATTTCAAGAGCCATTGATCAGTGTCAATTCCAAAGTAGTTAAATGGAAAATGAAGGGATCTATTCCTGAAAAAAATTTTGGATACTTGTACTCGGATACAAATTCAAACCAGAAAAATCGATTATCACTCTCTTTCCCATCATAACGGCGCTGAGAACAAGATATGAGATCATACTTATTCGATGCAGAAAAATAAAACATTCCAGAGGAGAGTAGACGTTGAAGCTAAAGAAAATTTCAGAAAATTAGTTTATATGTTCAATTCCGTTACATCTGATATTCTAGGATCGATATACTCTACATTCCCTACTGTTTTTAGAGGAATGAATTCACAGTTAGTTACTTTAAGTATGTCTGCATTGTAGAGCTGACCCACAGAGAGCACCCCCGTTACAGCAACAAGCAAAGATTCTTCTGAAGTTTTGACACTACAAATGGGGAGTGAAATAAAAAATCAATACCTTTGCTTAGTCTCAGTACTCCCATTATTCCATAAGCATCCAAGACTTTGGCATGATGTCTTCTTTCCACCTCAGTAGCATCAGAATCTGAACGAATGCTTTAGTGATACAGTAAAATGATTTTGATATACTGAGAGCTAGTATTGCTCCATTCTGAAACTGTAGAGAACCATCTTGTCCATTCTTTTCTACTAATATAGAAAGGGGCGCCTGGACATCTGTACGTCTCCAAACGCGGACGCCCCTCACAGACATCGGGGAAAAGTTCTAAATCGAAGCAGATATACAAATTATGTGGGAAAATGAAGAAAAAGTTTGGAAAAGGTAATGAAGCAGATCCATGAATAAGAATACTACTGCCGTTCTACTTCTCTCATTCTCTCATGGGTGTCGTATCGATCTTCCCCCTCCCCCACCCACCCCAGCCAAGCTTAAGCATCTAGGCTAATGCTATGTCGCTTGCTTTAAATTGATTATTGATGTTTTCTTTCTCCATTTTCTACGATTTTGACAGAAATTTAAAGGTAGATCGTTGGCAGAGAACCAAATTTAGTAGTCTCTTCAATATTCTCAGTTTACCATTTATTGGAGAAAAACAAATGAAAAAAGACAACGAAAAAAGAAATAATGAAATCAACAACGTGAAATGAGACCATATAATGCTCACATAAACTGTATACAATATATAATAATAAATGTAGTTGGAGTGGTTGACAGAAGATATCTATAGTAATAAGATACTCTGCTTATCATCATCGATATCACAGATCTTCTTTGTTTGCAACACATTGCTTCAGTTTACTTCCCAATGAATGTAGCAAATGTCCCATGAGTGGATCATCACATTCTATTCCTGATCCACCTTGTGTTAAAACTGCTTGTGAATCGTTCTCCAAGATCACTTTTACTCCGTTCTCAGCTTGTGTAGCTGATCCTTCACCGCAAACCTAGAAACATCTTAACATCTCTAGCCGTTCACGAAGATACCTACTTCTTCAATGGTTTTTATTAACGCCTCTTCTCTACTAGGGAGGTGTTTGAAATCGGGTAAATCTGAAAAGTTCGTTATATTGGAAGCAAAGAGATAGTTATCGGACATTTCTCAGGGATAGGATTTGCTTCGGCATGGAGTATTGCCGCCAGAACAGCATCTGCGTACATGTCATGAACAGGATTTGATTCCCATTCAATTATACATACTGATGATAAAGAACACCAGTTTACCGTGATTTTCCCCTAAAAAACAAAATTGTAAGAAATTTTGGAAAAAAAAATTACCTCGAAAACAGATATGGTATGTGTAGGTGCGGATGCTGTGGTCGGTTTCAGTTCGGCAACTAATTCAGCATCATCATTCAACTGTCTCAAATTGAAAAGTAGAAGTGCGAGTCCTTGACCATAGAAAATAGATTCTTTTTGAGTAAGTCTAGACGATGACAGTTCGGTATATGCTGAAGATAATTTTTGAATATGTTCTGAATGTCATATCTACCGCTCAGATCCTTTGGGTCCATGATGTGATAATTGAACTTTCTCTTAACCAATACTCCACTGATAACGTCACCATCCTATAACACTACCGTGTTCTTTCAAGTTTGGAAGTATTTTACCTTAGGCATTTCTACTGCCATATTACCTACAACTTTAGCTGTTTTTTCTCCGCGGAAGTGGAGCTCAATTCTTTCAGTGTTTTTTGGATTATGAATCTATAAACTCAATAGACCAGTAGTTCGACGAGGAAATACCTCAATGGGGATATTCTCGTCTTCGAAATTTCTCTGAATTCCAGCTTTGAGCCTATTCATTTCATGTACTTCTCCATGAACGAGAATCTTAAACAAGTTTAGAAGAAGCCTTCAAAGGATCGTTTACCAGATGAGGAGGTCGCTGAGATTTAACAAAATTAGTTGTTTGAACAAAATCTGTGTGCGCAGAGAACGATATATATCCAACCTAAAAAATTATAGAAAACAAAGACAAAAACCTCTGGTTTCATACCTGCATCCTCATAGGTAAGCGCTCCCCATTCATAGCTTGAATTTCTTCTGGCTCCGTTAATATATACTAAAACAAACGTCTTCAAGCAAAAAGAATAAAAAAAAACTTTTGCTGGAGTTCCTTCAACGCAGTAACCAGCGATGATGCATCCATTTTTACTGTCAACACACCATTTCTCAAGAAGCTCCCGACTTAAACCATTCTGAAGCATACCAGGAGAAGCTAAAACTACACATGGTCCTGAATCTTCGAAATGTTCCATTCCCTAATAAGAGGAATCATTTGATATACTACTAAGAACTTTGTGTACTTTTAGATTACTGACGTGTTTGAAGACGAATGGATTATTGACGGCAATCTGTTTTTGAATTCTCTGATTCATTCCACTTACGAATGTTTGATACACTGCCATACATTTCTTAGCAAGACTTGAGGCATCTAAGAGGAAAAACCCGTCAGTATCAGCACATTACTTCATATCTTACAGTAGACAGGAATGTCATGTAGATCAGGATGAGCTTCCCAGTATTCATCCAGAATAAGTAAAAGTTCCTGGGCTCTACCCAAAGCGAACGCTGGGATGAGACACCGACCACCTCGCCCAACAATTTCATGAACCATTTGAGTGAATCTGGAGAAAAAATATAATATTCATCTGTAGATCATAATATAAAAAGAAACCTTTTCTCTCTCTCATCTCGATCTTCGTGAATTTGGGTGCCATAGGTGGATTCCTTAATAAAGTAATATACATCGCTTATAGTAGAACTTACTGAAATCAGAACATCTGGAGCAATGCTGGGGATCTCAGCTGCGCATAAATGTCGATCTTCCAAACAGGAGAAATCTCCGGTATAGAGAGTTTTCACACCTTGAAGAAAAAAAAGAGTTTACTGAGTTAGGGATCATCAAAACCTGCTATTTCAATCATGAACATACAAGCACCTAATACATGGCCCGCGACGTAAGGCCAGAAACGTATTCCGTTGACTTCTTTTTGTTCTTGGAAATCAATAACCTGTAATATTAAATTTTGTAACTTTCAAAATTAAGATAATATAATGAGCACCTCAATTTTTTCCATACATCTCTCTAAGTCATCTTCAGAGTATAACATATGGCGATCACTGCCTCCTCCGAACTTGGCAACCTGTAAATATGATCAGTCATACTTGCTGTATAAGTCTCTCTGAACCTTGATATAATCTCCCAAGAGCATACGGAAGATAGCTTTGGTGGCATGGGTCATGAAACATTTTCCTCTTTAAAAGAACTTATTGAAAGGAAACTAAGGAAGGTGTACCGGAAAGCTGTTTTCTCGAGCAACCATGGTAGAGCACCGGCATGATCCAAATGAAAATGTGTGATCTGCAAAAAAAATGATTCCTAAAAATCTTGTTCAAACAAACCAAAAGTAGGTCCACTTTTTCAACATCGATAAAATCAACAAAAGGTAGTGCGTCCACTCCGTGCATACCAGGATGTACTCCGCAATCAAGCTTAAACATGTGTTTCTCTAAGTCAAACTTATGAGTGCCAAAGTTACCAGAATGCTCTTCCCTTTGAATTGGAGTAAATGGCATGATCGTCCTACTTCTTGCCCAGATCCCCTGAACTCTAACTGTGAATTACTATGAATCTATAAGAACGTACAGAGGTGTAAAACATAAAATGTCTGAATTGTCTCCACCAGGTTCATCAGACATTCTGAAACTTTAAAAGAATTTGTTCGTCATGTGCCGTGTGTACAAATAGTAACTATGAAAGTAACATGGTGTGTTAGAAGTGGAGAACAGACAAGATAAAACAAAGCTTTATTTGGGGACTGATATACGCACATGAGAAGGAAATGCAGATATGTTAAACGAAATTAAAAGCACTTTTCAATAGCAGAGAGAAAGAGAGAATGACTGGAATGCGTAATATCAACTAAGAGATTTCTAAATATCTCTTAAGACTCCAATAGCTCTTAGTACTTTACAAAGAAAGAATAAATACAAGCAGACGTTCCTGACGTAGTCAGACAAAGATTATTAATTATATTATTAAAACCACTATACATTGTAGAGTAAATACATGGTAAAACGAAAAGATGCTAAAACTAGTCTTTCGCAGTAGAACGTGCATCTTTTAACGGCTCAGCCTTAAAAATCATAATTTTCCAATCATTTTTTGTTTTTACCCACCGTTGCACTAATTGCCACTTGATTATATCGTCCTTCCATCGTGTTGGGCGACTTCTTGAACTGCTTTGGAGCTACTCCCGAGTAATGGGGTGTTGAATTTATCTGTTGGTGTCCCGCGTCCTCATACATCTTAATCTGTAGATGAAGAGATGCTATGACGTACTATATCACGAACCGGATCAGTCTTCATTGAGTAACTATTCTGAGAGATAGGAGCTTGACTAGATGGAACTGTCAAACTTTGGCTCCCATGCATATCCATTGAATGACTAACTGAAGTATTATTAATAAAGTGTTGAGGAGGCTGTTGCAATTGCTGTTGAAGTTGGCTCTGAGGCTGCGAAGTAGTATGAACTCCATTATAAGAGATATGTGAAGATGTTGGTTGCGCAGCTTGTAAATGATGTTGCAACTGAGATTGCTGTTGACCAGCAGATTGAGGAAGATGCTGGGATTGCGTTGGCGCTTGATGTTGAGACTGTGGCTGAGCAGCCATCGAATGTTGCATCGGAGAATGAGGATGGACTTGCTGTTGCGTCGAAGTAGGATGCTGGTGTTGAGATTGATTCGGGAGATGATGTTGTTGTGAATGAGGAGGAAGAGACTGTTGTTGACTATGAGATTGCTGGTGTTGCATGTGTTGGGAATGTTGTACATGCTGAGCTTGTGAGCCATGAGATGGAAGCTGTTGATGCTGTTGCCTTCTTTGATTAAATTGCTGCTGCAACATTTGTCCAGTTGTTTGACCACCAGAGTACTGTAATTATAGTTATGAATTTGATGGCTATACTGAGATACTCACAGGGGCTGAGGATTGCGAAATAACTCGTGAAGGTTGAACTTGAATAGAGCGAACAGGCAGAGGAGCCTGAAACATCTGATAAAATTACTATTAAAGAAAGTGAAGGTACGTTTTGAGGCAAAAAGTTTTGTGAATTTGGACCAGCCACAGACACAGGAAGATTGCCGCCTCTTGACGGTGAGGAAGAAGGTGAAGACACGGAAAGCTGAGCACTCGCACGCTGGAATCAAGATCCGATATAAATGAAATGTTGAAGATTCATACCTCCGTTGATACATGCAACTGCTGCTGAGCAGTTTGTTGCCCATGAGCTCTCGCTTGGGTGAGCAGCTGAGCAACAACTGCAGGAGAAGGACTTGCTGGTTCAGTGCTGGCAGATGATCCTGGAACAAACCAAATAGAAAAACTGATATTTGTTAAAGAGTACCACTAGGCTTATGGTGGGCTTGCGTTAGATGGTTTTGTAACCCTTGCGTGGTTTTGTATCTCTTCGAGCACTGCTGGCATTTATGTGGACGAGCTCTGATTAAGCAGTTACAGCAAAAGTTAAAGAATTAAAGAAATACGCTGCATATTTCGTTGGACTCGATGTTGTTGCTGAAGGAACCGGAGGTGCTGCGGTTTCAGTGGTCGGGGCGACGCTGTCTTCTTGACTAGATGCATTATGAGCTGTTCTTATGTGTTGTCTGAAATTAACACACTCTGAGCTTAAAAAATGAGAGCGATTACTTCAAAGCAATTTTGTTTTTGAATCTTTTCCCACAATTCACATGAAGACATCGGATCGGTAACTCTGTGTCGCTTTAGAAGAGTTTAATCGAGAAAAAAATTCGCAGCTTACTTCTGACTGTTCTCCTCGTAGTCATCATTTCCCGCTTCACTGATGACATCATCTTCTACTGACTTAGTGCTACGATTTCTGAATTATACTATAATTCACATCAAAAACACATTTTCGTACACTGCCGTGACTTTCGGAAATCCACCTGATTTCATTCCAGGTGCTGGTCGTTTCCTATGATGATTGAATGACACTTTCACAATTTCAGGCGCACACGGTTGTGGTCGATAAGGAGTTGGAAAAACCCTAGAAGTACCTTAATAAGGGAAGAAATAATGAAAAAGGCACCGTTGAAAAGCGCTTAAAGGCAAATTTGGGGCTGTATTATGTCTTCCATCTTCGCCAGAACTTGAGCATTTTTGTCTCTCCTCTTCAAACGGTGCTAAAAACTAAAGTTAAAGAAGGAATAAGTCCAAGTTCATTACGTATATGTGTGAGTTCTATATGTGCTATCAGATCGTATAAACTTCGAAAATGAAGACCACAACTAGCATAAGCACACGAATTAACAGAGAGAAGAGAAAGTGACATTAGCCAAACCCGCTACTGAAACTGAGGATAAAACATATCAAACAAGAGAAGGATTGATACACATAGGTTTTAAACCTAGCACGATCAAGAAAATGCGAAAAAAAAATAAAATTTGTTCATAACATAATCTGATTATGTACAATAATTATGCACTACTGCGGGTGACCGACAGCACGATTATATCTATATTTCGGCAGGAGAGGTAGCATGTAACGTAAAATACTTGAGCAGGTAGGATCCATCATTCGCAAAAACACTTGATTCTGGAAAGTATTTATTAATAGTTATACAACACACCATTCGAACATTATAGTTCTGAACTATACATTCCCCAGCCAGAGTTTTCAGTGAAGGTGGTTTTAACCACATTTTTTGGCAAACGTTAGTTCTGCGGGCGCCCCTACCGTCTTTAACTCCGCCGAACACATAGAGACATCCTTCCTGTAAATCCCTTATATTCAAGTCTTCTTACATTCCAAGGGATACCTCAGTCACTGCAGCGTCATGGAAGAACAATCCAGAATTGAGACAAGCATCCAGCTTTTTCCATTCTTTCTTGCTCATGTTAAAAGACCAGACGTCATCAAAAATATGAGGCTGCAAAGAAAGTATTTACTGATCTAATGTATATTTTACCTCGCCTCCTGGAAACCCTACGGTTGATCCACCTGTTATAATAACAGAACCCTCGAACTCTGTTGCACTATGACATTTCCTAGCTGCTGGGTAACCATGTTGGGGGTCTGGTGAAGTGAGAACAGTACTATAAGTCTTTGTGTTCGTGTCATACACATAGAGCTGGAAAACATTTATTTTGAGAACGAGTTCTGATTTTTAAGAAAACTTCATCTAAGCCTTTCACTGCATCTACTGTCCCACCGCCGAAGAAATAGAATTTGCCATCATATTCGGCAACATCGAATTTGTATAATCCTTGGATGTCAAGTGGCTAAACACTGTTGAGAAACGTTTGATCTTACTATAATTACCGTGGTAGCTTCTTTTTCCCAGTAGAAGCCATCTTTCTTCCAGCGAATCACATAAACGTCGAGATCATAGACTTGTCCGTCCGTGCCTCCGATACAATAATATGCTTCACTTCCATCAGCGTGATTTGTCACAGTCTTGAACGCCTGAAGAAGAACAATACACCATTGACGATAACAAAACTTTCTTACATGGCCATATCTGTTTTCGACCAGCTCTCCTTTAACTTCTAAGGTGTTTACCGAGATAGTCTTAGTCTCGTCCAGTGGTATATTAATAACATGCACCTTATTACAAATAGTTGATCCAAAAGGATAACCCGTGCCTCCAAACATTAAAAGCTTCTCTGAGAAACCGAAGAAGTTGCAAACTGAAATGATTTTCTGAATAAACTTCAGAAAAAATCTCGTACCTCCAAAAGAGGCCAAATGACTTGGGAAGTTCACTGGAGTGCGCAATTTCGTCCAAGTTTCAAGAAGAAGATTAAAGCGCCATACCAGAAATATCTTGAGTTGCAGTTTCGAGCAAATCAATGTACCTGTTCATAAATGTGGCCCATCCCGTTAATATTAGCAAAACCGCCAATTAGATATATGTAGTCTTCAGTTAAAACTATTTTATGCCCACTACAAGGGGCAGGTACTGACTCGTGGTCTATATCTGAATACAACTCTTGTATGTTAAATTACACAGGTACTCACGAGGCTCGTCCTCATCATCCTGCTGGGAACTATAACCCCCTGATACTACTTTGAACCGCATCAAATTATTACCGGACTATAATTGAACTAAAAATGGAAAGTATAGTATTATTTCTTACTAAGGCAGGCATTATCAACGGTATACCGATTTGAAACCCGAGAAATATATCACATAATGTCCTATACAAAAAGAGAGCAAGACCTCGCAATATGCTCATAAAGTATATGTTACAGCGTCCTGGCAATCCTATATAAAGTTGGAATGAATATGGAACGTCAAGTAAAAAGATAGCTAGAGGAACAACTATCACTACAAGCTTTCATACTGTCCAATCAACTCTCATTAGCGTTCATGAACAAGCAATCGATAGCATATACGGCGAGCTTTTTATGGTTTAGCATTAACATATATGCTTGAAATAAATTACTAGCAACTAAGCTAACTATTAATAGTTTGAAAGAAAGCTTATAGCATATAGCACACAACGGCTTGGTGTCCCTGCATTTTTGTTGGGACGCCAGGTCTGGTCCTCGGCATACTGTAGGTCACTTATTAAAACGGACGGCAGATAGCCAGTGGAGTCGTAATATTCCCACGATCTCAGATCTCTATGTTGTATGAACTTGTTGTGATCGGAAGTTTTTCGTTATTGTGAAATTTTTTTTCGTAATAACGAAAAATTCTCACATCAGTTCTCGGGTCATCTCAAAGATTTTATAACTATACTATTTTGCAATTTTCGTTTGGAACTGTTAGTAATAATATTCCACGAATGAATGCTTTATCGTATCAAAGCATTGCCCTTCTGTCAGTTGGTAATTATAAAATATGATAGTAGCTAATCCTTTGCTTTTAATTTACAAATACATCATAATCTTATTTAAGCATGAAGGGCTGTCGGAAGCAATTTGATACCAGTGCCCTAAGAAAGAAACATGTAGTTTGGAATGTGAAAATAATGAAGATTACTTAACAGGATAATAGGAGTGGGCGATCTATAAGCTGTTTACTGAATGAGGTAAACCCAATGTTTTCATATTATTTCAATTGTACCCTTTGTATTTTCCTAAAATCTTACCGTAATTTAAACTAATTAGTCTATCTATCTGTTTGCATAAGAAATTAAGCGCAAGAGATCTAGTCACTCGGGGAGTCACCTGGGATAAACTCTTTTGTTCAAATTTACGTACACTCATTTAAGTCTCAATTTCAATTGGATATGTTTATTTCTTATTATTATTTCTTGTTGTGTACCGCACAGGTTGTATATTCATTTGTGTTAAACATTTTTAAAGCTTAATCTTAGGTTTTCTAATTCGTTATATTATGGCGAGATATTTCAGCAAGGATTCCCAAGTAGCCAACTTATTGCATTAGTACTGATAAGACAGGTGTAATAGAACTCCTAGGTTGGTGACGTGTTTAGAGGATTCTTTTGGTCTCCAGACATGATGAGTTTTCATGAAAAAAAAGAATCATTATATCAGTGGTATTACGTGGAGACAACCGTTCGATAACACTTTGAACTATAATATGGGTTAATTCATACCCGCTTATCATACGTGAAAAATACGTGGGCTTGACGTGAGATTATATTATGATAATCGTTATCCCCCATAGTCTATGGATGAAAACGAATCGAGTACTCTTTTGAATAGCCAGTATCGGTTGAGTTCATAGTTGTAGTATATTTGGTTTTTCTTGTTCCTTTGTACAGATAGGTAATTGAGAAGATACATATCACACATAGTTAGCGTTATCAGGGTTACACTTTGAAAGATTAACTTTAGAAATTTTAGTTATACGGAACTATGGGTTACAGAACATGAACGTCCCTCAGCTTCTGTATGCAACGTTATCATCTTATCAGGAATCTTCTAATTATTTCTTTCTGATTCTCTTCTTACCAGCTAAAGTATTATCACCAACCCCAGATTTTATCGACGTGTCCATTTTAATGACTTCATATTATTTATGAGCTGTTAGTTTTTGTAATTGAATGAAAGGAGGATTTTCAATGAAGATCTGGGCTTTTGCTAGCTATTACTCGTTTCATACCTGCTCATACTTCAATACAAGATGATTTCACGCTGTTCTAATCAAAAAAGATCTTAGACACTCATTATTCGGAAAATATTGATTTTCGAATTCAGAAGAAACGAACGATAGTTCGAGTTCCTAATGTTTTGTATCAATATCAATATCATATGGATCATTTTCGCTTTTCACAATAAAAACTATCCATTATTTTGAACTTTCTTATTATTCAAGAAAATTCTTTCGTTTCAGATACTTGCCATCACCGTATTCGTCTGAGTTTTGTGGAATGAGATATGGATAATGAGAAACAATCGGTAGCATCGGTTCAGTCGGTAAGTTAGCCGTCAGACCATAAAAAATGACGAAAAAAGTGCTCAAAAATAATTATAATTTTTTATCTTGTTAATGTTTTTGAAGATAAGATGCAGCAGTCCTTTCCCCGTACTTGCGTGAATCTTGTGTTCTTTGATTTGAGAGCTTCGATTGATCTGTTCTTTGAAAAAGAATTGATCTTTTGGCTCTGATACATTTTATTTAAATAGTGACAGTTAGAGCTCTTTCGAACTGAAATTTTGATGAGTAAACGAAATAGAATGTCTTTTTATAAACCATTAGCCAAATAGAGCTGGTCAACATATCTTCAGATAACGGGAATTTCGAGAAAAGAAATACTCATTAATGATACCTCTCTAGTCTTTGCTAATCTTTTCACCAAACAGTAGTCTCTACGTAGAATATGGTGGCAATTAAATTTGAAAATATAGAGGTTTGGAGGTTGAAAAGATGTGTAATGAGAACAGAAGTTTTATATCCTTCTTCATTATATTTTTAACACGTAATCAATCAAATATTTGAAAAGAAGACGATGTTTAGAATATCAATTCAGTCATCAAAAGCAGTAAAGTATCATAAGACCACTTTGTTGATAAGAATTTTGTCATAACTGATAGTTTATAATTAAACCCAGACTGAAAGATCAAATATTGTCCACAATTAATAAACATAAATAGAAATATAAAAACCTAAATGACGCAAACATCAAACTTTAGAATTACATGGCAGCGCCTTCACAGGCTGGGAACACAGTTCCTCACCAAGTGTCCATCAAAATTCATGATGACGACGAGGATGAGATTGCAATGGAGACTCGCCGAAAGACTCGACATCGTAGGAACAGCGGTAACTTCTGATATTTATTATTTAAAATTTCTTATTCATTTGTTTTAAAGTGGAAGAGCCCTATAGAGCACCCAAACATGTGCACGGTGGGGACTGGAAAGACATGATAAATATAACCAATGCTCGAAAGGTTAATAACAAGTATTTAATGCTTTGAAGAAGACAGTCGGATGAAAGTTGACAATTTGCGCTCAGTTCCTAATCATGGCTCATATGATCGGCTGTTCATCTGTTAAGCAAAACTGTTTTTATTACTAATTCAACCTGTTTGCAGCGTCAGCCTACTGTCGGACGAGATAGTCGAGTACGGACAATGTCCTCTCTGGTATGCTTTGCCTGACTAACACTGTACAACAGTAATTTTAGCGAGGTGGAACTTGGATCGAGCATAAGTTGAAGAAAAGAGTTTGTTGTCAATTTGTTCCTTCTCAAAAATATGCAGACAGGTACTTGTGAACCATTCTGAAAAAAAAACATCATTCATAAAAGGTGTGGATGTGGTTTACCGTTTGATCAGCATGAGGAGTATGTTCAACAAAAGTCCGAGAGAGCTCACGTTCATCACCATCATAACCACAATCATCATCACCTTTATCATGAACACAGCTTAACAGTGAAGGGGATTGATGAAGAATTGACCACTGATGGCGGTCTCACTAATGAATCTACAATTGTAAGAGTTACTTTTGTACAGTAGAATCGTTGTTTCTCTCAGCCTCGAAGAACAAAAAAATGGACCATAAATCGCAATACGGAATCTTTACCAACAGATTGTTATGGAACTATTGCCTTCGAAGGTATTTTTGCAACAAGAATAGAGTTAAAATAACTTGATTTAGGAGGATCTCATCAATCCAAAGCACACTATGTGAGGTGTGGATTCGATACCGAGCCGGAAACTCTATCATTCTTATTTGATAAAATCTGGAAATTACCACCTCCAAAACTAGTCATAACCATTCATGGAGGACTCACGAACTTCGAGTTTGTCTTAGGCTCGTATCATGTTGAAGTCATTAAGCATTTAGTCTGCAACCGAAGCTCGCCCGTCTTTTCCGGAAAGGTATCCTGAAAGCAGCAAAATCGACAGATGCTTGGATTATCACTAGTGGTCTCAACAATGGTGTAATAAGACATGTGGCTGCAGCCTTACAAGGTATTGTCGATCAAGTATGCCAGCTTAAACTTTTATTCAAGACCTTGGTTCATCGAGATCGAGATCTCGCGTTCTGGCAATTGGTATTGCTCCTTGGGGTATGCTTAAGAAGAAGCAGAGGTTTGAGGGAAAGGTATTAGTTGAAAATATTAGCAATCTATCCTATTTTTTGACACAGGACATAACAGTGAATTATTCAACAAATCAGTTTAATAAATCCCGATTTGCTGAGTTGAATGATCGACATTCTTACTTCATCTTCTCAGATAACGGAACTACAGGACGGTATAATTAGGAAGTTCAAATACAAATATGATATAAAATGTGCAGATATGGAGCGGAAATAATCTTGCGCAAAAGATTGGAAACCTATCTGGCTAAAAAGGCTGCTCTACAACATGGCACAAATTCGGTGCCTGTTGTTTGCGTCGTTCTTGAAGGAGGGGCTTTCACAGTCAAAGTAGTGCACGACTATATCACATCGTAACTTTTAAAAACCAAGTGTCGCTATCTGTATAATACTCTTAGAGTCCCACGTATTCCTGTTGTGGTTTGTGATGGTAGTGGTCGAGCTGCCGATTTACTATCTTTTGCTCATCAGAATAGCACAGAAGATGGGTTGGTATCCAATTTAGTTTCCATGAATTTCTTTCTCTCTCAGAAAACTGTCTGATTCAGCTAGAAACCAGCTGATCTTCCAGCTTGAAAAGGTGTTCAATTATGACAAAAAGAATACATTCCGAATTTATAAACAGTTATTAGACTGCATTAAGCAGAGGAGTTTGGTAATTTTCAACTCGATTGATTATCAGCTCCTTGTCTCTTTATAGTTGACAGTGTTCCGACTGGGAGAAGCACAAAGACAAGATGTAGACCATGCAATTCTCAAAGCTTTGCTGAAAGGAAAAAATTTAACACCACCTGAGCAGCTGAGGTTAGCTCTGGCATGGAATCGCGCTGATATTGCTCGCTCAGAAATTTTCACATTAGGCAGAGTAAGTTGAATCCTGCAGAACTTTCGCATTTCTCAAGCTCAATCTTGTTTTCATTCGTTTCCCAAATGATCAGTGACAGTTTTAGCTTGATCATTGCATATCTATTTTGTTATAATTCGAGGGTGCAAGCGGTTGTTCTTTGTTCACGCTGTCTTCCTGCAGTTCAATTTTTTTTTGTTGAAGGAATGGTCAATGGCGGATCTGCACAATGCGATGATGGATGCATTGTGCCATGATCGTACTGATTTCGTTCAATTGCTCCTAGAGAATGGTGTAAGCATGCATCGCTTCCTTACTTACGGACGGTTGGAGATGTTGTACAATACAGTTAAAAACTTCATGAATAAGATTCAAGCTAATATCTACCATCTCAGGAGCATGGTCCTAATCATACACTGAAAAACTTACTAGGAATCGGATCCAAGAAGCATCAGTTGAAGTTAACAGAGGTATAATTGGCTTCTCTATTTTCCTGCAACTGTTCATCAGGTTGGACATGCGATGGAAAATTTAATGGGTAATGCTTACAAATCAAACTATACAAAAGAAGACTTCAAAGCTAAGTATTTCGTGTTCTCGAATCGTAAACAAGTAAGGATCACAGAAAACTCTTCTGATATTTGTCTTTCATTTATAGTTGGGCTATCAACATAAGAATGACAATGCCAAAGTTAGACAGCGTTCGGAGAACTTGAAAGAAACGAATACTCTTCAACTCGATTTGTTAAAAACCGCCAGACACTCTATAATTTCAATATTCCAAGGTAGTAAAGAGAGGAATTTAGATCAAGAAGGTGAGTTGGTTGTTATATGTTTGCTTGTTTTGTGTCTGTCCATGTTCTATGTCCGTTTCTTTAGGTTTGGAATGTCCTTGTACCACAAGTCAGCAAGCATCCGCAAAAAACTCGCCACTTTCAGATGAAAGATCCCTAGTAGAGGAGGAGTCCCTAGACTTTACATTTAAGTATCCATATTCTGAGCTTTTAATTTGGTCGGTTCTAACAAAAAGACAAGATATGGCCATGTTAATGTGGAGGCATGGCGAGGAAGCCATGGCAAAAGTGGCTTTTGAGTTTTTCTTCACTTTGGAACTTTTATCTTTGCAGGCCCTGATCGCTTGTCGTCTTTACTCATCGTTAGCTTCTGATGCGTCAACTAACTATCTTGAACTAGAGATTTGTGAAGAACTCAGTAAAAACAGCGAGTATATATTCAAATATTAGAATTCTTCTGTACTAGGTTTACTTCAGAGAGTTTCGCAACTTGTCTATTGAAGTTCTACAGTATTGCTCTTCACAAAATGTCGATTCCACCCTTCAATTGCTCACGTACGAACTGGCCAATTGGGGTAACGAGACATGCTTGTCTTTGGCAGCTTTAGATCAAAGCAGAAAATTCTTAGCTCACCCATGGTCAGTAGCTCTGCAGGAAATCTCTCATAACTTTCTCTTACAGCTGTCAACTGCTTTTGTCGGATTTGTGGCACGGAGCGTTACATATTAGGAACAGTTCTAACATCAAAGTAAACGAAAATGGCTTTTCTTGAAGAGAAGTTCAATTTTTTAGGTTTTGTGCTGTTTACTTGTTCCACCTTCTATATTCCTACTGGAGTTCAAATCTAAAGAAGAGTTGAAACTACAACCACACACCGCTGCAGAGCACCATACTGACAACTGGGAAAGCGATGGTACAATGTCTGAAGGGTCAGAGGATTTTTCCGATATTGGTAGCACTGATACAGAAGAGGTAGATTGTCAACTTTGGTTCCGAGCATAGTGCTATTCAATCTCTTTCAGGAAGAAGCTGGTAATAGTTCTGGAAGGGCTCGAAGTGGCTCTGAACAACCCTTAAGTTTCCATCAGGTTTGAAATAACAGCTCATGTTAAGTTAACTATGTTACAGCTAATGATGGATAAGGTCCTGTTTCGAAGAGACACTGTGGCTCCCGCTTCAGGATCACCGCCAACTAACATGGCAGATGTTCAGAGTAATAAGTATCATGCTGAAAACTACTAAAATTCATGTTTTAGCTAAAACAGGTCGTTCTCGAACAATATCAACGTCTAAAGTTCGTAGAAGGGGGATACGCAAAGAAACCGAAACTATTTTGGAAGAGCCGGAAGATCCTAAAAGTGTGTATCTCATTTAGTTCTCGTAATCAATTTTTTTTTCCCTGAAGATAAGGTAAAGCGTCGGTCTACTCAGAAACATGTGGTCATATTACCAAATGAAAACGATGGTGGAGCGTATACTACTGAAGGAAAGAAATATGTGGATGAACGGCAGCCTAAACAGGTTTCTGAGCCTAAACAACTTAATTTGACAAAACTTTCTCAGAAATCTCTGAACTGGCGTAGGAAATTGCGAGAGTTCTACACTGCTCCTATCACTACGTTCTGGCTGTGGTCTGTCAGCTATTTCGTATTTCTCATAGGCTTAACTTATGCACTTCTGGTCGAGACACGACGGTAACTATTCATATTCTTTTTTATGATTAGCTATATCTATGTTTAAGAATGCCTTCATGGGTGGAATGGTACTTGTTCCTCTACGTTGTTGTCTGGAGCATAGAAGTCTTCCGCAAAGTCGGCTATAGAACAATTGCATCCATTTTACAGTTTATTTTCCAGATGCTTCTCATTGTTATGGTGGATACGAAAAAACCAATATTTAGGAAACTTAGTATATTTTTTTTCAATTATCGAAACGGTATTCTGGCTGTGGCTTTAAGTGTTCATGTGATTGGGTTCTTGATACGGCTGAACCCCGGAACACAGTAATTCTGCCTAGAGCACGTACACACCTTATAACTTCATTGCAGTGCTTTGGGTCGTGTTATATTAGCATCTAATTGGGTATTATGGTGTTTGAAACTGGTTGACTATCTCAGTGTTCATAGGCAATTAGGGCCTTACGTGACAATGGCTTCTGAAATGGTACAGCGAGTTGTTGATTAACTAAGTTATCGTTCCAATTCAGATCCCGCGTATGCTTCCTATTTTGTGTATGCTTTCCGTGGCTTTATTAGCATTTGGAGTTATCCGACAGTCTATAACTTTCCCGTACGAAGATTGGCATTGGCTACTCATTCGTAACATTTTCTACAAACCATACTTTATGCTTTACGGAGAAGTATATGCTCCTGAAATCGACACCTGTGGTGATGAAGGTAAGTGCTATCCAGAAACCTATCGCTTATCCTTCTCCATTGCAGTTTGGGATACTCATGTTGAGAATGGGGTTCCAATAAATCAGTTAAATGTCACAGGTATTTCCGCTCCTACTTCAATCATCGTTTTAACTTATTTTTCAGGAGACACATGTGTGCCCGGATACTTTGTTGTTCCAATTTTTATGACTATTTTCATGATTATTGCCAATGTTTTACTTATGAACACTATGGTAGCTTGCTGCACATACATTTTCGAAAGAAACGTTGAAATTACTCAAGAAATTTGGCTCTTTGAACGTTATCGCCAAGTATCATAAGTGGTATTTGAACCTTATTGATGCCGCTACTTCAGGTTATGGAATACGAGTCAACTCCAGCAATACCACCTCCTTTCACCTTAATCTATCATATATTCTGGGTGGCTAAATGGATATTAGTTCGCGAACACTTCACCGATAGAAGACATCTGCTAGACGCCTCTTTAAGTATGAATACTGATTGATATAGAAACTTCTAAATCGTTCTACTTTAGAGCTCTTTTTGAGTGAAGAAGAAGTTGAACGGATACATTCGTTTGAGGAAGAAAGTGTTGAAGACATGGAGAGGGAGCGTGATATGAGGAAACAGAGCAGTAATGAAGAGAGAATTCTCAGAACATCGGAACGAACTGATATCATTCTAAGAAGGTGAGTGGAAAGCATAAACAGAAGTGAATTGAATTACTCAATACTAGGGTTAACAACATAACTGGCGCAGAAGAGAAGCTTCAAGGTGATATTAGAGAAATGGAAATGAAAATGCAAATAATGGAGTACCGACATGTAATTGGAGTATTAATATGAAAAACCTAATATGTTAAATTTCAGAAAGAGGAGATGGAATATTTGCGGTTGATGAACGCGAAGGTAGAGCAATTGCTTCAGTTACAAATGGGAAAAATACCACAAGATGTTTTAACTCTCCCAGCGGTTAGTGAGCTGTATTGGTTTATTTATTGCTCTTCTATCTACTAAGGAACCTAAGAAACTGCCTCCTTTCGTTGCTAATCAGCGTTTGGTCGGCTCGGCTATGAGTGCTGTGCCTGAAATCACTTTCGATCTCGTCGATTCTCCTGAAGAGAAACCTAAAAAAGGTATCATATGAGCTAGGATTTTCATAGTTGCCTATTTTAGACGCTTCTAAGTTTGACTTCACTACGGACAGTGAGCTGGAAGGTGATGCTGAGGAACGTACACCAGGAAGAACCTACGAAAGGTTTGATCAAGCTTCAATAAATCTATTATATCGTACTCAAATTTAGAGGAATATCGGTTTCATCAATGGATGACATTTTAGAAGCATATGATGAACCGAAGGTAAACTGATGCGCCCAATATTTATAAGTTTTGTGCTTAAGGAGCCTGAAGCACCTGTTTCTCCAACTTTCTACATTGATGTTCCATCAGATGATAGTGTAAGTGATACGTTTCAATTGCTTGTTCAACACAAAAACATTCAGGAACCTAATCAGAAATTTGGTAACAAATAGATGATGGGGCGCTATGGATTTGATACATTTTAGTCTATTTTTGTACAAAGCTTGCATTTATTTTTATTAAAAAAAAAATATATATATATAAGTATGAGTATACATGTAAACAACCCTCAAAAATAAAATAGAACGCGCCAATATATCGACTGGTTTTTTGAATTACCCGCTACTATTACTGATTTCTGAGATCAGTTTGAAAAATAACTGAGTTGAAAATGATAACTTAAAAACATAATAATTTGAAAAATCTTCGAATGATTTAGTCCGTTGTGGTCATTTGTCTTCTGATCATTGCTTTTCTTAAGTTCGTTCCTTCAATGCTTTGTCTTCGCCCGTGAATCCTATCCACTATTTCTCTGAAAAAAAGTTTTGATAACGAGACACTCAGGCTGCTTGAAAGTGCAGAAGTCAGGTGTGCACTTTTGAATTCCATTCGTTAAACTGTTTTTCATAAACCTTAGATATCAATAATGAAAAAAAGTGGAAAGTATTTGCTATGGGGTTCTTCAAAACCTGTTTACCAGATGGTCATTTGTTTACCTCGCGTTTCTCAGTTGTTCCGCATCCATGTGGTCCAATAGCAGGGCAAACGTATCAGCTTGATTATAACGGAACGAGTCAGCAACCACTCTTAAACATTGTAATAAAAAAAAGAGGAAGCAAATGTGTAAGGCTTATTTTCGACTCGTGTGTACCTGAAGTTTTCCATTCCAAGAAGTCTCCGTCTCAGCTCTGGACAACAGTTTTCAATTAAGAATTCGAAACGTCTTTTGAACTGCTTTTGAACAACCACATCACTCTTTTCATTCTGAACATATGGGATAAACTAACATCTCTTGATTTCTCTTACATTTATCATATCATAAAATGTACTCCAAAAGGCTGTCCAAGATATCCTGGCTACACCAATTGGATTCATTTCACATAACCGTTCGCATAAAAATCTCATAGTTTCTCGATCTTGAGCACGGAAACACATTGCTCTCCATTGTAATAGACCTATCAATGAAGATGTTGAGCATCAAGATTCGTAGCTATACCAATATATTCCTTTGTTGCATTACCAATCTTATCCCATATATATCGCATAAGCTCGTAATATCCATGCGTAATGGCAAACTTTAAACCCAATTGAAGTTTCTGGTTAGCAAGTCTCGTTTCTACAGGAGTTTTACGGTTTTTTTTAAAACTTTCTTTATTTTTGTTACCTGTGTCGAAGAATATGTCCCAATCGCTAGTCATGAGAGTCAACCAAAAATCATAAACCGGATGCTCCCCCAATTGCTTTCTGTAAAAGTTTAGAATAAGATAATGTGAATGATTGCTATGAAATTACCGGAATGTTATACATCTATACTTATCAAAACGTCTAGCATCTTCAATCCAATCTGTCAGAGCATACAAGCAAGCGAACTATGTGATTTCTTCCGTTATAATACTTTGCATATAAGATACCTGGAACTGCATTTGTGGCCAGTCGGAGCACTGGGTCTCCATGAGATGTTTAGCTGTCTCAAGATCTTCTATCAGAAACCTTAATTAGCATCATTTGTATCTCTATTTTCCGAATTTCAAGATAAATTCTGCGTACTAAGCGAATTTACTGAGATATTTGCCAACTCACGATGAGTGCTTCCACAAAAGATGACGATAAAAAAATCGCAAATGTTCTGCCTTGTTCATGACTCTCCCGCTTTTTTTGCTCTCGCAAAACATTTCTTTATGTTTATCATCTGAAAGTAATTTTATGAATAGGTATATAGCATAACACCAGACCCCAGCGGCGGACTTCGCGAAGAACTTCTCCAATCGCCTCGCGAATCATTTCGCGTAGTTGGTTAGGAACTCGCATAGTCTTCAATACATCGCCCAGCTCGTAAGCTACATCCTTTATTTTTCTCCATCTTATGTTAGTCTGGAATCATACTTTATACATAGGAATACAAGCATGAAGTCAACAATGAGTTATAAAAAGAGGGAACATAGTCTTTAACAGTGCTAAACGAACTCACTATAAACAGCTTCAGAGCTATGTCTCGTGTAGTTAGGAATTTAAGTGATGGCACAGTATTCTGATCCATAGTTTAGAAATGGACAACTTTGTTCCTGAGTGTACAAGGGTACTATTCAGCTTACAGTTAAAGGACGACTAGTACAGATGAATAAAGACAACACTAAGTGTAATGAAGGAGGAGCATATCCGTCACTTCATGTGTACACAGCCATCAGCTGACAACTTGAGTGAGAAAAAAGATTTTCTTTTAAATTTAACAGCTAATTACGATGATATTAAAAAATATCTAATTTTGTAGAACATAATATTTGACCTGTTGAAGAGAGCAAATATGAATCAGAGCAGCAGATTTCTGGATTCAGAGATACAAACAAAAAAAAGTTAGTAATTGATGAAAACACAATAAAGTAAGCAGATGACAATAATAACGTGAACTCCCAAGTTATCACAGTAAAGCTGTTATATGCTTTCTTAGGAGTTTCTAGAAGCTTCAAAAATCCAGAATATCTCAATAGATGGTCTCGGAGGAAAAATGCAACCGGTCTCTCGTGCGTCATGCAACAAAATGAAAAAAGTTTGCTTGTCTGCAAATGAGTTTGTTTCCATGATGCAAATCCTCTTCATTCATTAGTTTTGGTTTTTGAACAAAGTTTTGAGTATTGTAGATTTTATCTTTATGTAATAGTTTGGCCTGTTTATCCATGTTTGACCTTGTTTGGCAAGTTACGTTCAGTATATAAAGAATTCATTTTCCTCTATTATGTTTTCTCATGTCAACTTCAAGCGTTATTAAAACTCCAGATAGTTTGAGACATAGTAAGGAAGTTTGGATTTCCAAAGATGAAAATCAGGATATTCGCAAGAAAGATTTTCTCCGTGATTTCTTATCCTACATACGATCTTTCCAAAATTCAACTCTTCGTGACGAACTGATGCGGGTTCGATTCAGGTAGTCTTCAAGTCCAACTTTCTGTTATATTATTACTTCTTATAGATTAGCTAACTTGAATTTGAGTTTTGAAGATCGTGCTCGATTATTCGTTGCAGCTATCGTTATTATATTTACTATATCCACGTTCCTTCGCATAACATTCTATTTCTGTTCCGTGAGTTCTTCTTTTCAAAAATATAATTCGATATCGAAGGGTTTGCCCACCAATCATAATACACTACATCATTCATTAAATATATTATATTTATTCTATTATTATGATAGAAGTTATTATAGTTTTATTGAGTTTTGGCAGCTGATTGCTTTAAGGCCAGTTCGTAGTACAAACCCTTCTTCAGTAACAGCTCCGTATGAGTTCCTTAAATCGCCCTCATTACATTACATGTTCAAAGTATTATCGTGATTACCTCTTTCGATAATATTTCCGTTCTTGAATACTATTATGCAATCGGCATTTTGTATCGTAGATAAGCGATGTGCTACGACTATACACGTCCGTCCAGTAGCAGCGAGATCTAAAGCTTCTTGAACAATCTAAAACACATAAATAAATTCAATACATCAATTTAGTAAACTTTCTCGGATTCACTGTCCAAAGCACTAGTTGCTTCGTCCAACAATAGAATTGCTGGCTCTCTGACCAATGCTCTAGCAATCGCTATCCTTTGTTTTTGTCCACCTGATAACTGTGCTCCTTTCTCACCAACTCGCGTATCATAACCCTCAAATACTATCGTTATGATTTTGATACGAAACATTTCTTACTTGAGGCAGAGAAGAGATGAAAGAGTGTATGTTCGCTTTCTTACAAGCTTCTTCGATGGTATGCTGTGAAACATCAGTCTCCAGACCATAGGCAATATTCTCTCTTATTGAACGATCAAACAGAACTGGCTCTTGTGAAACTAAAGCAATATGACTTCTGATATGCTTAGTATTCAAGCTTTCCACATTAACCCCATCTATTTCCTGAAGTTACTAAATTTTAAAAGTTTATAAGTCTGACATACAATAGATCCACCCGAAGCATTATAATGTCTCTCGAGCAGTCCTATGATGGTTGACTTTCCACATCCACTTGCTCCGACTAAAGCTAATGTTTCCCCCTTTCTAACCTTAAACGATCACGGTGTTGAACAAAGTAGACATTAGCGAACCTTCAAATCAATACCACAAAGGATAGGTATATTTGGTCTCTGGGGATAACTGAATCGTAGATTACGAACTTCTACCTCTCCTTTGATTAGAGGTTTTTGTCCATGCTCGGACATGCCATCTATGAGAGGTTCCTCGCGAAGCATTGCAAAAATTTTTCCAGCCGCTACAGTGGCTTTCATATATTCTGGGAAATAACCACTAAAGAGTCCTAAGCTGCCAGTCGTGAAGGAAATAGCAAAAAGAACACTAAAAATAAAACTGAGATAAATATTCAACTTCAGTCTCACTTCAAAACATGTTCGGGAGTGACGTATTTCTGTATAATGAGCCATAGTCCAAACCGGAAACAAGCCGCAAACATGAAGAAGAAGACACTGGCCGAGAAGCCATAAATGATAGCCTGAATTTCATATTTTCTTCATAGTATGTTGTTCTCCTACTTGGGAAACAGCTTCTCTCATGATGTTTGATCGCGCACTATTCAATATATCTACGAACTGATCGTACAGTCGTTTCTCTAACGTAAGGGAATGTACTGTTCGAATATTCTCGATTGCTTCCATAGCTATCTTAACAGAGGAGAAATAGAGAGTGTCTGTGAAATCGAAAAACCTTTCCGCCGTCGGCCATATCGGCAGTGTTACCACCCATCATCCCCAGGGTGTATTGCATTTGAAGAGATTGACCAACAATAGTTAAAGGTGCAATCGCAAGTGCCTGAATAGTATCAACAGTTTAGTTGGTCCGATTGAGAGACTAACCAGTAAGGCCATTTGCCAACTGTAGTAGAATGCAATGCCTACACCGACGAACAAACCAACGACAGCTCCATAAGCCATACCTAACCGGAAATCGATAGCCTATAACTTTTTTAATAAGACCTCATACTTTCTCAAAAAAATTCACCGATTTCAGACAGGGGGCATCCATAGCTAAGCGAGTAGTGAGTTTCCCAGGCGAATTAATTGGCTTATCGAAATATGATCTGTCCATCCTCAGTATATTTCTGAATATCATGCTACGGAATCGCTTAGTCATGTTCTCAGCGGCAACCCCAAAGAAAAATGTCTGAAATGCAACACATAGATGTTGAAGTGTGAAACTGAGAACCTGTAATGTCATTGTGAAAAGCATCAAAGTTCCCAAAGCTAAAAACAGAAGCGAATAAATGTGACCATCATGTTTCATTTGATCAGGAGGTTTTGTGAAAACCTAAGTGAATGAAATTTGAGTTGATTATAACTATCTGCCTAATACTTGAATCAGTTGAACAAAGATGATTGAAAAAGCTGGAAACACACATCCTTGAGCAGTAGATGATAGGAATGCAAGAGCTAAGTAGAACCATTCAGGCTTGCTCTTATTTATAATTCGGAAAAGATTCGCTGTCGGTACTTTATCTTTTTCGGCAACAGAATTCACTACATTTGCTTCTTGCAGGGAAATAATTGTCTCCTATACTCATTGCCATCAATATTGAAATGAACACTTAGCCTTACCCTTCTTTTAGCAATCTGTTCCACATCTTCTGCTTGTTTTTCATCAGAATCTTCTTAAAAACTATGTTGGAAGCAGTTTTTGATACAAGTTACCTTTTTCTAAATCTGCAAACACTTGGTTACTAACCAAATCAAAGTAAAGTCCTTTGTTATCCATGAGTTCTTCATGGGTGCCTTGCTCAACAATCTGAATTACGCTCAAACTTCATCTGCATTCGAAACTGCAAACCTCTCCTGACTTCATGGCAATAATGTTGTCAGCATTACGGATCGTTGATAGCCTGTGAGCTATCACTATCGTAGTTCTACCTCTTGATGCCTATGATAAATCATTATATCCGTATGATTTTATGTTTTACGTTTTCAAGTGCCTTCTGTACAATATACTCGCTTTCCGCATCCAATGCACTTGTTGCTTCATCCAATAGCAAAATCTGAAGAAGACTTGGTTGAGCAAGAAGAGCTAACTGTCAAATACCTTTGGGTTACGAACTAATGCTCGTGCAATTGCAATACGCTGCTTCTGCCCGCCTGATAGCTGAGCACCTCGATCTCCAACAACTGTTTTAAGTTTATTCGGAAACTGCATAACAAAGTCATAAGCATTTGCATCTTTTAAAGCTTGAATGATTTCCGCTTGGCTCACATCAACTTTACCATACTTTATGTTCTAATTCAGAAATTAGCAAAAAGAATGCAAACTACACACAATACCTCTTCAATGGTACTGTTGAACAGATTAGGTTCCTGAGAAACAATTCCTACATAATTTCTCAAATGTTCAATGTTCAGCTGAGATACATCATGATTATCAATTGAAACCTAAATAATATTCGTTACTTGAAACTCAAGACTCTTTTAAACCTTGCCAGAAACTGGATTGTAATACCGGAGAAGTAACTGTGTTACAGTACTCTTACCACACCCACTGGAACCTACTAATGCAACGGTTTGTCCTGGCTGTGCCTCCAATGATATACCCTAGAATGCACATGAAAAACAAAAAACATGGGTACAAACTATACTCTTAATATAGGGACATCAGGTCTAGTTGGGTATGAGAAGAAAACATTCTCCAGTTTTACATAACCTTTCATATCATTTGGTTTCTTCCCGCTAGGCGACAATGAATCGATATCTGGAGTCTGCAACAAACTACATTTATCATCATTTCAAATTATTCTTACTCTTTCGATTATTGATAGGAGTGATGCTGCAGCACCAATGGATGTTCCAATAACAGCAAACTGTGGTCCAACTTGGCCTAATGCCATTGATCCCATCATGACGGAGAAGAATACCTTGAAGTGGTAACCCTCAGAGGGAAAATCCAAAAGCCTATTCTTACTGTCATTACAGTTCCTCCGTCCAGTTTTCCTTCAGCTGCATAATTTACACCTATCCAGAAAGCAAGAGCATATGACGAGAACATGAATAAGAATGTCGTTCCTATGCCTATTCCTACTTTGAAGCTTTTGCGTATTCCAAGTTTTCGTCCTTTCTCAAGTGACTCGTCGAATCTTTAAATTGTATAAAGCTTTGTAACTTGAAACGGAATTGTAGAATATCAACCTTCTTATTTCGAATGCTTGCCCATTGAAGGCTTGTACTGTTGTAACAGAACTTAGAACTTCCTCGACAATACCCCCTGCTTTACTGTATACTTTGGCTTCAATCGTAGCAGCTGATGCCATACTCTGAATTTCGGTGTAAAAACACTTGTATTGGTTTTGAAATATTACGGTTGCAACGTATCCACCAGAAATCATTATCAATGGCGATAAAGACATCATTATTAAAGTTAATTTCCAATCATGTGTTAAAGCAACCACGAACCCACCGACAAACTATAAAAATCAACTATAGTGTATGTGTTATCGAAAAGAATACCTGAGCCAAAAACTGAAACATAAGGCCTATCTTATCACCACTTCCTTCTCTGGTACGTTCAAGATTGCTCAAAATGCATCATTCTCATTATCTTTTCATAACAGAACTTACTCGAATAACTTCGGTGCTAATGTTCCGGTATGATTCTTATCATACCAAGCAATATCTTGTCGGAGAATAGAAAGAAAAAATCGTTTCCGCCAGTTGTCAACTACATTATCACACGCTTTAACCAAGGCTATGGACTAGAAGAAAATATGGAGATCCGATCTCGCTGAAAACCCAATACCTGGATTATCCCACAAAGATACACAGCGCCTCCGAGCATAGCAAATTGTGCGCAGTCTTTCTCAACTTCTTTCGAAAAATTATTCATGTCCGCTAAATGTATTTGTATACTTGAAATTCTTCGAATAGATATATGCATACCTTCTCCAGCGAGCACGTACATGAACTCTTGTGTGATATTACCCTAATAACTCAGTTTATCAATGAATCAAGAAAAGTGGATACCATAATAATTGACATAACGGGAAATCCTAACCCAGACCCTATGGCTGCTACCGTGCCGATGCAATAGAGAGTCATGTCCCAGAAGCTTGCGTATCGAAACTGAAGGTTCACAATGATGAATACAGTCAAATAGAGCTTACCAAAACAAACGGGTTCTTAGACGAGTATTCTTGATCATCTTTCACTTTGGTTGGTCTAAAAGACAGTTTTTAATAATAAAAAAATGCACTTACTTGTCATTATATCCAAAAACTTCTCGGGCTTTCTTGAAATCGTATTGAGCTCGACCCACCATTTGGCTCACAAGTTGGACATATCTCAGAATGGTCTAATGTTATATACATTTTTTCATACCGAGATAAGACATTGTTTTGTGACAGAAAGGTATTCTTAACATGAGTTCGTTCTAAACTAGCACAAACTGTAACGTTTGCTGAGTTTCACAATTTTAACTTAAAAATTATAGACAACTAATTATGCCGCAGCATCATTTCATTGTCTTGAAGCGCACACGGCACCATGGAGAGAAATAAGTGCTGAAGTCTTCGCAAAAAAGGTAAGTTCAAACTGAATATAACGGTTATACTATAAACCACCTAGCTACTTATGTACTAAACAAATGCCACATTCTAGATATAGTTAATACAAATATTAATGAGCTATTAGCGTTTCTTTTTCAATAACTCGTTCCAACTGTTTTTCCAGTTACAAAACGAGTTCCCAAGGATAGTAAACCAATGTGCAGATAAACAACTAGGTGCTCGGATACAACAACTGGGATCTGGCGATAGTGAGGTACTCTTTGCCTTTCCATTAGTATGGGTGAGTTTCTCAAGCTGAAAGTATTAACTGAAGTCTGCTACTGTAGGCTTCTGACCATTTATGTGATGTGCTATTCATTAAAGAAGATGTTGACCTAGTATCAGAGCAGCTATTCAAGGTTTCATAAAGTGATAACTGTGTTAAATTTGTGTAATTTTAGAACAAATATCCATATTGCTCGGTTTACTCAGCGAGTCCGGGATTACGATCACCTCGAGGAATAAAAATCATTCAACACCCTATCTACATAACAAATTATCTTGGTTCGAACAAAAGTGAGTACTTGGAGTTCTTAGTTTGTTGATAGATAAGAGCTCGCTCAGTGAACTGATGACCAAAATACAATATATGATTTCATGCATCACTTTCAGGAACTAAAACCAGGACACGTGTGGACATTCTCACTTATATTCAGAAATACATTCGTCGATTCAAATTGGATACTCTGATTCTCGGAAATCGAGATAACACACTGAAGCTTCTAATTGATCTAGTATCTCAGGAGGGTCCAATCAGAGAGAATAATATAGCTATTTGTCAAGCAAGTTCTAATACAGTTCTGATTAAAGAAACTTTTACTTCAAGATGAACGTAGCAATAACAGTTCCTGAGAGCAACGTTGAGAAGCAAATCTTTAAAGATCTATTGATGACAATTATGAAAGAAAAACGGTGAACAAAGTGATTTAACTTCTAGTTAAATTATTACAATTCCAGATACTTAATAACCAGAACATCATTTGATGCGAACAAAAAAGAACTCAAGCTCTTCATGGTATATTCCAACTCCTCCTTCTGTTGGGCAAAATATATGAGCTCTCGGATAGATTTTCACGAAAGAATATGATAATAATAAATATTTCCAAAGAGAAACCCAGATTTTCCTAAATAAAACCATTGAGTACTCATAGTATAAACTAAGGTTATATCCTCTCCAAATATGTTATCTTATATGTACGTCTTTTCCTATGACAACGATGAGTTTGAAATTTTTACTCAGTTTGGTACGCAATATCGCGTCAGATTATTTAAATTTCGAAAATGGAGAATTTGAACACTATGTTGATTCAGAAAATTAAGTATCCAATTTTCTAATTAATTAAGAAATTTCTCCAGGGTTACGATGGCTACTCTGGAAGAAAAGCGTCGGATAGCCTTTGCGAAAGCGTTATCCATGACCAAGCAGCACCCTAATGAAGGAAAGGTAAGGCCTCACTATTAGTCCCCGTTAAAGCTTCTTTCAAGGTTGAAGAGCAGAATGAAAACAAAATAGAATCAGAAGAAACTCAAAAGCTGCCTAAAGAAAACCCTCTGATTAAACCTAGTTCTTTCAACATGCGTCCTATATACTCACGGTTAGTTTAATGTTCAATTCTTTTTTTATCTTGTTGTAGCGTTGATATAAATTGTGATAAATGGTTACTTACAATGGATGATGCTTCAAAGCTCAAGTTAGAGACTCCTCCCACTCTAGCAGATGGAATAGATATTGAAACTGAAAAAGTTAGAGCTTGTTTTTTTCACTCTCTTACGTAGTCGACTTGTAGGAGTTACGTTTCCTTGGTTGTGAACTCATACAAGCAGGCGCAATCCTTCTAAGGCTTCCCCAAACGGCAGCAGCGACAGGCCAAATATTGTTTCAAAGATTTTATTTTCAAAAAAGTTTTGTAAATTACATGCTTGAGGTATTTTAATTTTTCTTCAAGAAAACCTAATCATCATTCAGCATACTGTGATGGCATGTCTTCTGCTGGCTTCAAAAATTGAGGAAGCTCCTCGTAGACCTAGAGATGTCTTCAACGTTTATTGCCGATTAGAACAACTTCATAAAATTTGGCAAACTGGACGAAAAGTCACTAAGTAAGAAATAATAATTTAGAAATATGTTAAAACTTTTTTTTAGGGAAGATACTGCGAGAATGAGGCCACGCGCTGTAGACGCAAGTTATGTAAATACGAAAAACCATGTAAGAAAACCAAAACAGACATGCTTATATTGATACTTTCAGATCATCAAAGCTGAAAGAAGATTAATGGCCACACTCGGCTTTGTTGTACATGTTAAGCATCCTCATAAACTTATTTGTTCTTATATATTCATTTTGAATCAAGCCCATCGTTTAGACCTCATTCAAAAAGCTTGGTGAGTAATATATTTCATAGCCTATCTATGAATAGTTTTCCAGGAGTTACATGAATGATGGGCTACGAACTGATATGTTTGTACGATACACTCCTGAAACAATCGCTTGTGCGTGTATATTCTTAGCGGCGCGAACTGTGGAACCTCAGATACCGTTACCAAAAACTCCTTCCCACTGGTATTCTGTTTTCGAGTATGAGATGACGCTTGTTTTTTTCTAGGTTTGACCTTCTGGGTGCTTCAGAGAAAGACGTCCGAGATATTGCTTCCACCCTTCAGCAGTTGTATAGTAGGAAGAAGGTATAGAGCATAGTTTGTACCAAGTTTATTGAAGTATTATAGGCTCCTAATCTGAACAAACTCATGACTGTTATTGATAAAATCAGAACTGATCGAGAAGTAGCTGAGAAAGCCAGGCAAGCCTCTCTAGTGGCGCAAAAGCTAGTTGATGCTGGAAAAGGTTAGACTACTTCTAGTTCCATAGATTACCTTTGTTTTTTTCTAGACATTAAAGAAATTAAAGAAGACAGTAAAGAAAAGGAAAAAACCAAATCGCGATCCAGAAGTAGATCACGCTCGAGAAGCCCAAGGAGGTTGGTTGTTTCAGAAAAAACTTTTACTTGTTATGTTCTAGAAGAAGCTCAAGATCTCCAAGAAGACGACGAGATTCTCCTGATCGACGAAGGAGAGATGATCGTACTAGGAAAGATGGCAGACGTGAGGAAAAGAATAGAAGGCGAAGTAGAAGTAGGGAAAGGTTTTATAAAGACAAACTTAAGGTTGTTTTTGAGAACATAATAGTTTTGTATATAATTGTATTCAGGAACAAAGTAGAAATCGTAAGAAAGAAGTATATCAATCACTGGGTAAGCGCTATCGCAAATCTTCGCAATCTCCTGGTATCAAAGCTAGGAAGTGAAATGTCAAAAATAATCATATTAGTAGTTTAAATTTTTGTTATTTATCTCGACTTCATCCGGTAGATCAAATTGGATGTCGCCTGAAGGTGGATGTATTATGTACATTTTAATGAATTTTGTGATAAATCGTAATTTTAAAAGACAATAATGGTTTGTATACCTCATTCTCCTTATGATTATTCTCTTCAAAAGCCCTTTCAAAAAGAATTGCTTCTCAGAATCACAATTATGGAAGAATTGAGGTGTCTCGAATTCTATTCTGGAATAGGGGGATTCCACTATGCTCTCAATGGTGTTTTGTTTCAGCTTCTTCAGATTTAACTATATTTTTAGCCCTCGATATCAAAGTGTCAATTCTAGCTGCTTTCGATATTAATACGACTGTTAATGCTATTTATAAACACAATTTTCCTGATACTCCTTTGTGTCAGAACAACATTCAAGTTCCAACTGGGATTACTCAAGTTGTTCACTATAAAACTTTCAGGGTTTAACAGCTGCAGCATTGGATAAATATGGGGCGAACCTATGGATTTTAAGCCCTCCTTGCCAGCCGTTTACTAAGTTCCTCAAAGATATATTAAAGAGAAGAATTTTCAATTTCTCTAGAAAAGGATTACAACTGGATGTAGAAGACAGAAGATCTGATTCTTTTCTTGCTCTGTTGAAAATTTTTTCGGATATGAAATGTCCTCCAGATTATATTTTCGTTGAAAACGTCATGGGTTTCGAACAGTCGGAAGTTCTTCAGCAGTTTGGTGCAACGATCGAAGCCAAGGGATATTCGTGGAAGGTTAGTGACAAATGAGCCTAACAATGAAAAATATGTTCTTCAGTATTATACAATTAATTCACTCGAGCTAGGAATTCCAAATAGTCGTCCTAGATGCTATGTGATGGCTGCACTCGATAAACATCGCATCGACTTTGAAAGTATCAACGAAGCCCTAAATCAAGCAAGACAGACATCAGTTCCTCGGTCTTTGGGCCAGTATTTGGATAAGACAGTCAATTTTGAAACTCATCCTGAGTTATACTTATCTGAAGAAATGCTTTTTAAATTTGGAGCTACCATGAACTTGGCAACAGTAGATTCCGTAAAAACTACATGCTTTACGAAATCATATGGTCGTTTCAAAGTCGGTTGTGGCTCATACGTATGTTGCGAACCTCACCTAGTATCTGACTCAGACCATTTTATTTCTGAAAGAAAAGATTCATGCTCAGACGAAAAACTGGGACAAGTTGTACGAAGATTCATGCCTGGTGAAATGGCAGCGCTCCTTGGATTCCCAGAAACTTTCAACCAACCACCCCACATAACAGATCAACAGATGTACAAAAGTCTAGGAAATTCAGTTAACGTTACAACTGTATCGTTCCTTCTAAGCAAGCTGCTCATTAGATGATGAAGTTTGTTTCCCTTTTCAAATTAAAACTTTTCCCGCCGTTGCAATCCTGTTATGTTTAGGTCCTAATGTCATACGCTGCTACATCTAATTTCCGCTTTTCAATGAGACATTCGATCGTATATACTGGAATATCTAATAAAAAGTTAGTCTTACTTTTCTATTATTGTGAACTCTTCATTAAACTTCCACCTTCTATGAATCATATGTACACTTGTGGTGTTTGGGAAACTCCGCCCCTATCGTGTATCTTTGAGACTCTCGAAAGGCGCCGCATCCTCTTCATTCTTTATAACCGAACCTCTTCATTCGTTGCTCCATCCTTCTTTCTTCATTGCATCTTGTTATATATACTCCCATCTAGTATTCTCATAATTGAAGACAGAGAAGTATAGAATGTTGAAGGAACAGTTGGAGTATCTTCCGAGAAATATCATTGCCTTCTTATGGGCATATTTATTCCAGTATTGACCATTGTTGTCTGTCAGCAAGTAACATCTTCTTTTTCATTCACACCCATTTGGATTGAAATTCTGCGGACGCATATAAAATATTGACTGGTTAGCTCAAATTGTGACTCGGAATTTATTTTCCGGCACTCTGATCGGGCCGCTAATTCGCTCCTCGTTTGTCAGTCCATCCATTATCGACAGTTGAAATTCTCAGATTGCAATCAGTCAGTTCTATTGGCTGATGGAATTGTCCTTGGTTTGTCACTCGTTTATTGTGGGCTGGGTCGAAGATTCAGATAAACGTCTATTACCTTATAGAATGGGTACACTACTGACTAATTGTGTTTTCTTTTGACTTCACTAACTCAAAACATTCCTTCTCGTTTGTAATTAAACTAGTGGTGATGAGGAGTTGCTGGGAAGTTTTGAAATTTCCTATATAAGCAGCAGCTTCACGCTCGACTTGATTGTAGCTGCATTCATTATAAAATCAATTTTGAAGCTCGCTGAAGAATGTTGTCTTTGATGTAGCAAATATGAAAGATTGACCCTATTACTCTTCTGATTGTTCTCATCCTCTGTAGGCCATATTGGGTGAATCATTTTCATTGACGAATCTTTCTCTTCATTTTTTGTAATTTTTCATGTCCCAAAACTGGTATTACCCCATTTGATATAACTGATTATCGTAGAAAGTACCTATTTCGTTTCTCACGGTCATCGATATTCTCTCGCCAATCTTTCTCTAATTTCCATTATGCATTATAGAAGTGGCAGGTTTATGACTTGCCTCTCGTAGGTGTATCATTAGCAACAATGTACGTTATACCACTTATTATCGTCCTTCATGCTTGTTCGCTTTTATGATGTAGTCTACGTAATTGTGGTTGAAACCATCGCTTTTCAATGCATACTCGCCATGTTCTCATATCCTTTATCCGTATTCTCCTAATATATTTATTTCCTATGGTTGACGGCATTATCCAATGGATTACTCGTCTCATTGACAGCTTTATTCTTTTCATTCTGCAGATTTTGCCCACACCCCAAATCCTTCGATTGAGAAATTACGTTTTCCAGAGGTTTTCTTCTCTCATCTTGACATGTCAATTCTACTATACATTTTAACTATTTAAGCTAGAGAAGCAGACGAGGTTTAGTAGTTGTCGTGTCAGGATAAATGAATTCTGTTAGCGAGTGTGCTCGATTTGACCCTTGTTCGTTATACATGGGATAGACAGCTATTCCCTTTAGGCTATCCTACCCTGTCCACATTTTCCATGACTCATATTCCTTCATATGTCAATACAGCTAGACAAAGACCGTTTTTAGTTCATATATTTTAACATCAGAATTTTCTTAACCTGACGAGGTTGAAAGAAAGCTTGTGCGCTTTTTCTCTTCTCTTTTTACGTCAACACTGTTGAGTTTGCGGATTAGGTGTGAATAGCGTACAACTGTGGCAATTTCTCACATACAACTACCAAGTTGAAGATATGAGAGCTTCTTTTTTAGATCTATATTACTGATCCGGTAAACATCTCATCGTGTTAGAATGTTTCATGAATACGACAGTTCCTCATTTCACGGTTTCACTAGCCAACATCAACAATTTGATCGATTTTTGTCCAGATGTTTGTCGTTTTTCGTACATAAATTTTGATATTTCATTTAACATCTCTTGTATTGATTCGTTGTGTCTGAGTTCTGATATTTCCCCATTATTTCGAAATGTTAACACTGATTTCAGCTGTGCGAGATGGCTGAAGATGGTCATAGAATTGTTTCCGTTTCAGTCATCCAAGACACTGGAACTAGAGTAAGAAAGTTATGATAGTTCGGTCATTTCATGAAATCATATAGGTTCAATTAATGTTCAAGGCTCAAGGATTAAAAAAGAAGAAAAGTTTAGTGAATTCTATTGTGACTGTTTTCAAAAAAGTACGTTTTACACTTTACTTCATTCCTCTCTTCGTATTATATCAACAAGAACAATTCTGTGAGTATTGTGTTTCAATTTGCTTCTGAAGAATGTTTGAAATAAACATTACCGAAGAAATGAGATTGAAGTAAAGACCAAGGTTCTTACGAAAGGAAAACTATACGATTACGAAATTGAAAGTCCGCTTCTCCAATCCGTTTAGCCATTTAAAGATTCATTGGCGTTTTTCCTATCAAAAAAATTATGTTTTATATGACTGGCTTGATACGAACACGCTTTGAGAGATGCGCAATGAGTGACGACGTTTTCTTAAGTTCATGTTTAAGATCATATATTCGTAATATGATTGAATGATCAACGGTTTAAGTGAAGTCTTGTGACTCGGAGAAAATGGTTTTGTTATGGGCGAGAGTTTTCATTTCTCCACTTATTTTTAGAAGAGCGGTTGTATTAATTACATTGTTTGGGTTTTTTCTCATTTCTTCAATTTCAGCCTCATCACCCTTCCAAATTGTTAGCGAATGGACGATTCAAAAAGTTCGAGCTGAAAGACACATCTTTTCATTTCATCCTAGAGATCAGGAATAGTTCGGAACCCCGATCTGTAGAAGTTTTCCATTGCGACATAAATAGATTCCCTACTCGAGTAAATCCGGAAAGCGCCAAATTCGAGGTAGTTTTTTTCAACTGTTTGTGGGAGCAGGTGTTAAGTTTTTAGAAAGGACAGAAGCGTGTTTATATCCCAACAAATTGAAATATTCTTTCTATCTTCAAATTTTCTTTTGACATGAGGAACATTTGCCTCTTCTCCTCTCAGCTGGGCGCGAAAAATGTGTCTAAATCACGTACACATATTAAAGACTTCAAAAAAAAGATATGGGAGTTCTTTTCTGGTTTTCATGATAAGGAATTCATTTTAATATCTTACCCTGTTCTGGCGCAATCTTTCTACTTATATTAGGCTGTAAAATATGGATGCGATTTCTTTTATAAAACTATTGAAGAAGTTTATCTGCCTTTCAAATGCTTGAATACCTTGTTTTGTTAGTTTGGGATAGACCAACCGCGAGTAAGTGAGGGCGTCCTGCAAAAGATAGAAAAAGCGCTATTGATTTCGTATATATTTTTGCGACGAATGCTGTCCAAATACTCCAAGAGAGTGTAGATATTCTAGTCCTTCATTTCACAGTCAGCTTGAATTTGATTTTTTAGGTTCTTGAGCCTGCCAGTGGTGAATGTTTTATTCTTTTATCTCTCATCAAGATTGACAATCTTTCTACCAATTGGAAAGAGTTTATGAGTGATAATGGAACTGTTGATGCCGCTGAGCAATCTCAATAAATTTCTTTTTTCAGTTTCATTTTTACAATTCTCGTTTGCGAAACAGTCTATTTAACGATTATTTCAACAAATATAAGTCAAATGACATCTCTGAATTCTTCGACATAATGATGTTCTATTATTGATTTCACAATCTCCCACTGAGCTTACGTGTACGCTCTTTTCATATTAAATCATTCAAATTTATTATAATGTTAATAAAAATGTATTTTTGTTGTTCTTACTAATATCACAGTTGTTCTATCTTCCTCTGTATGTTAAATCTTATTTGAGTAAAGAGTTTTCTATTAAATCTCGGTTTTTAGATGAAGTTTTAAAGTAGACGAGTATAGTGATGAAGTCTACGAGTATGATCTCACGTCAGTTTTATGCAATCTCTAAGAGATTATTCAGCAGTCGCAATACGGTTTGTACTTTTCTCATTTCATTATCAATGAGTGGCTGTTAGTCAATCTGCTTATCAGTGCTTTTTCCGGTTTAACGGTTGACTATCAACAATTGTTTTTGTTAAGGACACCTTTGGAATTGTACTAGACATTGATGGAGTTCTTCAGCGAGGTAGAGAAGTGCTACCTAGGGTTCAAGATGCTTTTAAACATTTAACAGATCAACATAATAATTTTATAGTTCCTACAGTTAGTTTTCAAGCATATCTCGTGAAATTGGTCATGTTTGCAGGTCTTTTTAACTAATGGGACAAACTGTCTCCGATCGGAGAAGGCAGAAAAGCTTTCAAATATCTTAGAACTCCCGGTGAGGGTCTGAAGATGATCAATAGTATGTATTGACTTTCAGATAAAACCCCAGCAAGTTCTGATGGCTCATAGTCCGTTAAGAATGTTCAGTGAACTCCATAACAAACATGTATTAGTTGTTGGACAACAACATGCTCGCACCATTGCAGAAAAGTAACATTCAAATAGTTTCCAGTATTTATTATTCTTGTAGTGTTGGGTTTACTAAAGTAACAACTATTCAAGAACTTCGCACTTTCTTCCCAAATCTAGATTGTGTAGATTTCTCAAGGAAGCGGATTAGTGCGAACGATGCTATTGAACTTCGTAAGAACTTCCAGCCCATAGAAGGTATGTTCTTGCGAGAAAAAAAAATATTTATCTCGTTAAAGCGATTATTTTACTTGGTGAACCTGTTTGTTGGGAATCAGGTTTACAACTTTTGGTTGATTGTCTCTTGACCAGAGGAGGTATTGAACGTTTCAATCTAAAGATATATTCTCTTTCAATTTAAGTAATGGCTGATTTCCGTCGAGGCTCTCTGCCAGATCAATTACCTGTCATCGCTTGTAATGTTGATTGGGTTTGGATGGCAGAAGGAGTAGCTTTACCGCGGTAGAAATTATTCGAACTACTCAATGATTCATTTGTTTATTTTTAGAATAGGACATGGAGCATTTTTACATTGTTTGGAGACCTTTATACACACCTTAACAGATCGCTATTTGCATTATCATGCTGTCTTGGGCAAACCAACAGAAGTATTTTAATCCTTCTCTTCTTATATATTTTATTGTTAGATCAGTTACCTTCATGCTGCTCATGTGATTCAACGGCAGGCACATGAAATGGGTTTGGATTCAGTTAAGACTTTATACGTGATAGGGTAGAACACAATTTGATATGGCATTTCGTACTGTACTCGTTTAGCGATAACCCTATGTCTGATGTCTTAGGAGCAAAACTGTTTGATCGCTACTTACGACATGGAGGTAGAGGTCGCTTCGATCATCTTGATCTGGATTTGTTCGAAGAATCAGGACCTCCTGAAGTCCGTACTAGACATGTAGTCGATAGATGCATTTCAGTTCTTGTAGAAACTGGGGTTTATAAAGGTTGGTCCAATCGAGTATCCTTTTCATAAAGCAATCTTTGAAGAGGGATGTCGCATGAATGGTGTTGCTGTGCAACCTGTAAATACTTTGATCGAGCATCTCTCACCGGGTGAACAAGCAGCTTTACAGCAGCCAGATTTTGTTGAACATAATCTGTATGCAGCTATTAGGCAAATTTTAGCTAGAGAGAGGTTAGAAAAATGATATTTATGTTTTTGAACTTGCTTTTTTCAGGTACCGTTTACAACCCGAACATTGCCTTCTGTAGATATGAAGATTTATTTTCTCTGTATAGTGCAAGAACGTCACATCTCCCGGTTGCCAATTTTATTCGCCTCCCTTTTCGTTATTAGCTTTACATCCAGCATTTGCATTTCGCTTGAGAAGAAGCATTCCCATGCTTGGGCACAATATCTCACTTACAGTCAAACTGTTTTTCATTCAAATAAACTTTTTTTTCACAAAAAAGCGTAAAAACGTTTAATAACAATCAAAGGGATGATGATCATGAGTGGAATAAATTAGGGTATTGTATAGCAAAGAGAAAGGTATTTGAGAACATGTTAAACTTCAAAATTACGAACAAGAAATGACAGCTTACTTAGCTTCGCAGCTGAAGAAGTGGGAATTCATTTTATAACCTGCAAATCATTATTTACTTCAAATAACTAATCGCTTACCGCTTTTTTGTGCACAAGGGAAGTGAACGTGTTTGCCATTGTTTAGAGTTATAGCAGCACCTTCTGTGTGGCAAATGAGACATGTCTAAAAAAGAAAGGTATCATCATATAGTGGAAATGAGATATACCTGCTTCCAAAATACGCTTAGTTGTTCCTGGAGATTGGTCAGTTCATTTCCTTTCATGTGTACATTTGGTGCCCACAAAGCACAATCTCCGTGAAGCCAAATATCAATTACACTGTCAACCAACGACGCATTCTTCATGTGAGAAAATTTTTTAAATAAGTTATGAAGCTAGAGTAGGCTTACCTTCCCCGGTTTCTTTCCCAAGAAGCTTGGCCAACTCATATGCTCAGCCGGAATATAGTAAGGACCAAAAAGATCTCCTAAGGAATCAACAGCAGATCTCTGCCCGCACAACGAACATTTCCAGTGTGTAGGTATCACGTTTTGCCGAAACTCAACCTTGTAAAAAATGATAACCAACTTGTGAATGACTTGAACATACTTGATACATTTTGCTTATTTGATTTTCTTCCGCCCGACTCACTATTTTACTATGTTGCTCACAGTTGGAAATTGATGATTTTCCTTCTTCGTTTTTGAACTGAATTACCACAAACAGTTAGATCTTTGAAACTATTTGGCTCACCTTCAAGTATGCCATTTCATCTTCTCTTGTCATTTTTTTCTTAGAGAACTTGTCTTTAATCTTCTTAGCTTCATCTGCGACCATTTCATCTGAATAAAATCATATAAACATGTTAAAAGCAACAGTACTATACATTCTTCATCTTTGACTACCTTCTTCTTCTTCTTTTTCTTTTTTGATTGAGCTTTCACAGCATCTATTGCATACTCTTCATTTTTTGCTTTAGGCTTTCTTCCCATTTCTTACAGCAGTAGCGAGAAGAGCGGTTGATCTTACTCCCTATTTACGATACAACAGCATTTAACAATCTTAGAGAGTTCCTTTCCGGTTGGAAGTGCACCAGGCAGAGGTTCTGAAAAGCACATTTTAATCTTAATCATTTAGTGTTCGCATTATTCTATGACGAAGTAGCAGCGATCTTAGAATAATCAATGTAAATATCTCTTGAGTGATAAAGGAAATAAAAAAAATTGATTTCACCTTCATAAACAAATTTCTTATCTGAAAGTAAGTGCCTTTTTTGATGCAGACATTCTTCCCTTAACATATTCGGGTACGTAATCGGACTGTTGCGGATTTGGAAGTAAGAAATTCAAACAGTTTTTTTGGTGACTGTGGAAAATATCGAACCTTTACTGTATATGGGAACTAGCTTCTTAAAATATTATGAACACTTGATGCTAGATAATGAAGACTACATTTGCCATAGGTATCATTTCCTGTTAATGTCTTTTCCAATAGTGTTTCAGCAACATGCAATTTTGAGCCATCAGAAGTTAAGTACAACAGGCAAGAAGTGATAGTTCCTTGTGATTTCATTCCCTTAATAGCTGGAGATAGAGTGCGCATAATAGAAGAGAATGATGGTAAGTTCATTTGAGTATTACTTCATTGAGATATTGCTAGGTTGGTGCTTTGGCTCGAAGCTGAGTAATCAACGAGATGTTGGTCTTTTCCCCGCTAATTATGTAAAAAAAGGTTTCGAGCCTGAATTGGTTTGTTGTTTATGAAGGATGCGTATCTTTATACATATAGTTAAGGTTGACTCTGATACTGAAGGTCTTAGTATTGTCAAAGAGATATACCGAGCTGTACAAATATGGTGGTCAAGACTAAAGGTAAAACCTGACACTTCAACCTCAAACAAGTGATGACTTTTCAGGAACTTTATGCAAAACAATCTGATCTACACTATCTCGATGAAGTTTTAGACAAAATTGATGATTTACTTGCTGCTAGAAAGCAAATTTTATCAGGTACCCGATATAGCATCGCTTGTACTAGCTTAGTATTTGAGGCGGGGTTCCTGAAGAACAACTCAACAATATAAGGATGGCCATTTCCAAAAAAATGGACAGAGTGAACTTGTAATAGTTACAGAGAAGCCACGAAGACTTATTTATGAATTCTTTCAGATTATTGAGTCTTAGCGTTACTATACGTGAAGAAACTGGTGTTCCCTATGATCCAGAAAAGATTTCTGTACTACAAAACTACAAAGAACATTCAAATGCAGAAAAAATAGTTTCGACGGATGTTAGTTTTACTTTAAAAGAAATATTATTACCGTTTATCCTAGTGTTCGGACGTTGATGAGAAGCTTGATGCTTTCTCAACAATGATATCCGTACAGTCTATTGAGTTGAATACTACTTACAATTGTGAGATCTGTTTCACAGTTTTCGACAGCGAGAAAAAAGTTTTTGTCAGGTATTTCCCTTCTTAATTTGTAACCTTAACCCTAAATTCACAGTGAAACAGTAACTTTCCCCTGGAAAGGAAAAGATAACAAGAAGAACTTGCGTAATCGGAATTTGCAGGCACTTTTCTCGGTATTTCACTGAATAGAAGGTTGATTACGAACTTAAATTCAGGGATTTAACCGTTCCGACTGTAGTCGAAAACTGTTATTATTGTGTCGTATTGTACAAATTGCCCCTATAGAGTTATCAACCATGAGGAAAAATCCCGATATGGAAGCTGCTCATTCATTTTGCCGTCAAAGTACTAAGCTAAACTGTTTTCTTCAAATCTTAGCTCGTTGTTCTAGTTCTCGCGTGGTCTTTCTTCGACTTGGGAGATATTTTCGATAATCTGCGTCCATCTAATGAACCGAAAGAACATTTATTGTTTATGAGCCGGTGAGATTACTGAATAAGAACTGTTTCAACACAGTGGTATCTTCCAGAGTTCAAAACTCAGAACAAGTTTTCAAATCTTTGACCATACCCGTTGATAAGTCTGCAGGTATTAATTAAAGTTAAAAATATCTTATGATTGATTTAAGATGATATTCGTATGTTAATTCTATCACAAGTTTATCGTGGTAACGCAAATGATGTACAAATGAAGTATCCTCATTTGTTCTCTCGTCACCCCCTCCTGGTTTCCAAAAGAACCGATGTATATACTTATTTGGGTAAGATGAAAATCGGTCACTAGGAAGAATTCAAACTTATATAGATGAGAGCCGTAACTATTTATATGCTACCTTAACATCTGGTGAGCTAACCAGTAAATCTTCTGATAGGAACGTCGAAGCAAGAGTTACTGTACTGGATAGTAATGGCGAAGTCGTGGCAAATGTAATATCTACACTCAAATCCTATTCTTAAATTTACTTTCAGTGTATTGAGAGTGTAACGCATAATGAAGGCGACAGTCCCAGCAATAATGGGCCGGTTTCAGTTTCTGAGTTTCGTAGTATGGTGTACTATCATGAAGATAAACCTTTCTGGTTTGAGCAACTCAAAGTAATTTCTTTTTCATTCCTTGAACAGTCCTTTCGTTCCTAGATTCGTCTACCTGAGGCCTCCTCACAAGATGTTCATCTACGGATAACTCTACACTCCCGGAAACAATATGACAAAGTGAAACAGGATAAGGCGAGTCTGAGTTCATATGGTTTTTGATATGAATGTACACGTTCAGGGCCCCTTTGCTCTTTCATATTTTCACCTTTTACATAATTCCACACTCGTCAAGAATGATGAACAAGAATTGCTTGTGTATAAGGTTGTTGGACTGTAAAATATTATTATTGATGGTTTTTCTATTAAGATTGATAGTTCACAGTATAGCCCGAGAAGTGTTGCCTATCTCAATCTGCCTTCTTCTAAGAGGCTCCTGAGAGATTTGGGAAACTCAGCTTCCAAACCACATTCCGCTGCTTTTACTCTAAGTGAAAAAAGCTTGATCAAACTTTCAACTTCGATATGTTCCTCTATATTGTCACAAAACGAAGATGTCGTCAATGTGTTGAGATGGAGGTATTTCCTAGAGTTTGTATTAGAATCAAGTCTGAAAATTTTAAAGAAATAACCCTTACAATCTTGCGAACTCCTTGAGCAAGCTCTCCACTCCCGTTGGTGAAGCCGAAAATGAAGTTGAAATCTATAATTTTGCTTCTTCTTAGCTATGAATTTTCCAGATGGTTAGATTCTTCAGTCCCCTTCTCGATGCTCTTTTTGAGATATGGGATGAACGGGAACAATTGGAACTACCTGTTTTTGATGTTATTGTGAGTCTGTACCGTTTAGTAGGTACGAATCATGCTTCTAAGCAGTTTCTGTAAGCCTAATGTTGTAGAAGAACCTCGAAATGTCAAATGCATCAATGTTTTGGAAAAGTATATGGACAGATTCTTTTTTCCAACCGCAGTCTTGTATGTTCGGCTGTAGCTTAATAGAGAGCTTCTTAACTTTACAGGAAGTTGCTGAAATGCTTAAACCATTATATTGTTAGTGCTTCCACGAGTAATAACGAAAAAACTAGGAACTCTTTGAAAGTTATGGGAAGGATTTTCATAACTATCGTTTGCTCAATGAAGTGTGCAAGGAGGTTAAAATTAATTCAAGCTGGTATAATTTGTCTGTTCAGGTTTCAGTATAGCTTGTACTGTCCTGAAACTATTCGTTCACATTTGGAAAGTGTTCTGTCGTCGATTGTCGGATTGATGAGTGAAGCTCGTGAACGCATGGCAATCCAAAACACAGCTTTGAAACATTTACCCAGCATAATCAACCCTATACTTGGTAGTGGTGCTTATGAACCTGTTGAGCTTTGGTACTTTTGTTTCATATATTTCTCTTATATTGGTCGTTACAGTAATGTCTTACTGCGTGTTCTCAACGGATTCGGTAAGAACATTGTCGCGAGAGAGCGCCTAGGGTTTGTCAGTCAACTTATTGACACTCAACTGTTCGAGGTTTATAATGTTCACTAATGTGTTCATTTTTTGATTTCAGCATTTTGCTTGTCGTCAAATTCTTCTTCCTAATTGTATATCTCTTCTCTTAACTCACTTAGAGTCAGACTCTGATGTTCGCGAATACCCTGAAAGGGCACTGGAATGTGTGCAAATCATATCTAACTTAATTGAAAGATTATTCCCATTAACTGTAAGTTTACTGTGCTTACTATCTTCTACTGAAAATTGTTTATAGACTCCTCGAGATAGTATCGGAGCGTTAGGCACTGATGATGAGCTGAACTTGGTACTGGAAAATCTATACCGACCTGTGGTACGCGCAATGGTTCAGGTCGAAAAGTTGGAGGGATCGGTTGTCGCATTTATACTATTTGAGTAACTTCAGTATAATTTAGCTGGAATACACTAGAGGAAAATTTTTCGCTTTGATTCTAGCCATGCTAAACAAGATGTCGGCTCAAATTTTCGATAGTTATCTACGTAGCAGGTAGTTCAGAACTGTGAGCTCTCATTAACTGACACTATCATCACTCCAGACCGAGTATAATAGACAAAATGGATTTTGTTGTTGAAATGGTTCAGATGATCAGAGATTTATTAAGCAAATGCCCGTTCCCCTCCACTTGGCAGCAAATGATTATGATACAGAACAAGTAAGGTTCACGTTTTATATATGTTCAAGTTCTTTTCCGCAGAACTATTAATAAGTGCCTTCGGTTCATAATGAGTTCGTCAGTCCAGTCATATTTTGCTCGGGATTGCTTTTATGCTCAGGTTAAAGGATATCAATTTACGGGTGATAAATAGTTTCCAAGGTATGGGAAGAATATATGAGAACTGTTGTGTGTTTCGTAACACAACCTGCTCTTCAAATCAGTGAAGAGTGGTTGAGAGAGGATTCGGACCCAAGAGTTAAACTAAGAAAGACAGCGGCGGAGGAGCTACGATCTGTGTGGTTTATGCTAACTAGTGAGTTTCTTTTTATTTATATCAGAAACAGATGTTGTTTCAGCTCGGCAAAAAATGGAATATATACCGAAAATGGTCGGACCGTTTCTCAGAGTCGCCTTAATAGAGGATGAGAAAATTCGAGATGCAACCATTCCAATATTTTTTGACATGATGCAGGCAGAGTTTCATTCCAACATCGATTCTGCAAAAGGAATGAAGCTGGTACTTGAACAAGCATACCAATGAGATATTTTGTGTATTTTCAGTTTTCTGATGAGCTGATTGCCCAGTTAGACTTTTTAATTAATGAGAATTACGGGTCGAGAACTTTCCAGGAAAAGTTCACAAAGATCTTAACGCAGCAGTGCAAGTAAGTTATCAGTCTCAACTATTCATAAGTTGGTCGTTAAGATCCGACAAAGATTTGTGGAAAGGAGGAGGCCAGGACTTGATTCAACGCGTGGATGTTCTGCTCAAATATCTGCTTGAGTATCGCCAAGTTCACGAGACAGAAGACTGTGCTGAAAATGATATGAGCAGAACATATCAACTTATGGTAGCGAAGTTTAAGATTTTTTTTTTGAAACAGCTTTTCAGCGTTATTACGAACAATACGAACACCAAGAGCTCTATGTTCTTTACGTTTATAAGTTGTATGAGTTGAATATACAACAGAATAATGACATCGAAGCGGCGAAAACATTACAGCTACATGCGAAGCTGCTATCAGTACGTCTCAGTGTGTTTTACATGGCTTATTTCTTTTTTTCAAAGTGGGAAGATGCCGAACTACCCGAATGGCTTGTGGGTCACAATTTAAATCAACACTGTGCTACTCAACGACAGTTGAAAGACAGACTATATTGCGAAGTAGCCGATCTATACAGTAATGGTCAGATGTGGGAAGATGCAGTGGAAGTTCTTAAGTATGTTCATCAAGGATTCTTTTTTCCATTTCGCCTTTTTCAGAGAACTCATTCCCGTTTATGAGCAGAAATACGTTGACTATAATCGCCTAGCTCTTCTATTAGTAAGTGTTTTCCCTGGAACATGTCAAATCTCTTCTTTAGGATCGAATCGCCTCGATGTATCGAAAGATCGCATCTGAATCCCGGGTGTTCTTCTATTACTATCTAGTTGGTTTTTATGGGAGAGGTTTCCCAATATATCTCAACGGTCACAGGTATGAACCTCTTATACTTGAATGCTCACTGATCAGTTCCAGATTTATTTTCCGCAGTAATAGTTTGGAGCGTCTTCCCGATTTTCTGGATAGGATGAAACAAGTGCGAATTGGATTCGTTTCTTTTCAATTCTCTTAATTTATAGATTTATGGTCATCCAGAAACAATTCCTTCAATGGATGATTCATCCGATTTGGCAAATAAACCAGGAAAATACATCCAGGTCTTCAATGTAGATCCAATATGTGGGCCATGTCCATTTGACAGTGTTCAAATCAATCCTTCTATAAAAGACTATTATCGACATTATAATGTGAGCATCCATCTCCTCATGATCTTACAATGATACTTTCTAGATCTCCCATTTTGAATATAGTCGTTTGACAGAAAAACGAGGCTCCAAATGGACATCAATAGAAGATAATGATGTGATGAGAACCTGGATTGCTAAAACGAGAATTGGGACAACTGATAGTCTACCATCTGTGCTTAGATTCACACCAGTGAGGAAAGCCTTGTGTTTATCCTATTAAAGTCTTTCTTTTAGGTGATTTCAAACTCGGGTCAAGTTCTCATATCACCTCTACGTTGTGCAGTTGATCAAATGAAACGTAAAAATGAGCAGCTATATGAAGTAATCATCTTTTCTAAACTATTAACAGTTTCTCTCAATCAGACTGCTGTTCTCGTTTTACAAAACTCTACTCCTGACGTCAAAAAAATCACTGGAGAGATTATGGGTGTCGTGCAGGCTAATGTACAGGGTGGCATTAGAAACTATCTTGTGTTTTTCTCTGATAAGAGCTCTCAAGTTTATGAATCCGAAGATAGACAGTTGGCCTCCCGCCTGCATGCTTTGATAATAGAACAGGTACAACTGTCCCACTTTTTCGTATCGAGAAGATTCTCTTTCAGGTTGAAATCTTAGAGTTTTGCTTATATGCTCATGCCACAAGAGCGGACATGTCAACCCTTCAACTACATGAACATATTGTAGAACAATATTTGGAATATAAACGTTTTGTGGAAGATAATTTTGGATTACAAGTCACAGTAAGTTATGAATCCTCAATAAAACATATTTGAATTGCTTGATAGAGATCTATTCTACCAACGGGTGCATCTATTCATATGCAAGTTGTTGAAGATAGAGAAAAGAAGAGTCATTCTGGAGCTGGTAGCATACTAGATATCAGTTCAACATCAACTGGAACTCTCAAGTCTCGAGGAGTATCAGCAGTACTGAATATGCTGTCCCCAGCAAGAAGGAATATTACATCACAACCTCCTTCAAGTTCTTCACTGTGCGTTTCCATTTAAAATGTGCACGTCTTTCGTATTTCTTTCCAGAAACAATGCGTGTGCTTTAGAGCTGCAGCCAACCTCATCTCTGTTCGAGAAGCAGTTCTCATTTTCAGGGCCAATGAAACTTTCCAAAATGAACCCAAAACTCAGTGGCGAAGGTTTACTACTCTTTATAATCTGATACGATTTATTTCTTTTCAGGTATTCGACTTCGAGCTTCTCTGTCTGTTGAGCTAGGTCCTCCACCCCTACCTCCTCGTCCTAACAATAGTAATTCTACTGATGTTTAATTTGTTATTTTCAATATCACAGAACTTACAGTGGTGTAATGTTCATATTATACGGTTCCATTACGATTGTACTAATAATTTAAAAATTGTATTTTCTTTCTTTGTGCAAATGCTTCTAGTCTTAAGACTTTATATTCTCTATTTCTGAGGCAATCTGTACCATCAATTTCTCCTGAGGAAATAAATTCTTTTCGCATATTTCATCTGTTTAAGGTATATGTTTTATGATAGTTTATCATTAACGTCTTCGTACCTTTTTTTTGTAATCTCGTGCGCCCTAGGCCAAGCAACAAGCTTTGTACACGAGGACATCTTCAAACTGGTCTCAAGCTGCCGCGAAAAAAATACATCAGGTTTATAAGCAAGCGCCTGAATGTTTTTTTTTCAACGAAAACTCGGTAAGATTAAGGAAAAGTTTTTTGATCGTTTGTATGTGTTGTCTTAGACATTTTTTAGAATTTCAATTCTTCTTTGACAGAAAACTTTAATTCAGCCAAAAACCCAATCGAATTTCTTATGAAACTATGCGAATGTAACAAAGAGATGAGTTGAAAGTCTTTATTTCTACAGACACTTGTATCACACAAGTAGAATTTAACGGCGAGTTCCATCCTCGAAGAAGACTCCTCCGTCGATAGCGCAGTACTTGGGGCAGATACCCTTCTCTCCGGCTCCTCCTGGTGGTCCAGCTGGTCCTTGGGCTCCTGGGTTTCCATCAGCTCCTGGTTGTCCTGGTTGTCCATTTGGTCCCTTTGGTCCTGGGGCTCCTGGGTTTCCATCAGCTCCTGGTTGTCCTGGGGCTCCTGGTGGTCCTTGTGGTCCTGGCTCTCCAGCTGGTCCTGGCTCTCCTGGGAGAATTGGCTCATTAGGAGCGTCTTGTCCTGGTTGTCCTGGGGCTCCTGGGGCTCCTGGGTTTCCAGCTGGTCCTGGAGGTCCCTTTGGTCCTGGTTGTCCTGGAGCGGCATCTTGTCCTGGTTGTCCTGGCTGTCCTGGAGTTCCAGCATCTCCTGGTGGTCCTGGTGGTCCTGGTGGTCCAGCTGGTCCAGCTGGGCATGGCTTGCATGGTGGTGGAGTGATTGGCTCGCATGGTTGCTGTGGTGGCTTTCCTGGGTTTCCTGGAAGTCCAGGTGCTCCTGGCTTTCCTGGTCTTCCTGGCTTTCCTGGGGTACCAGCTGGTCCAGCTGGTCCTGGAAGGCAGCATCCTTGGCATCCTCCTGATCCTTGAGCAGCAGCTTCATCGTTGGCAACTCCAGCATCTCCATACCCAGCTTGACGGGCGGTACGGTTAGCGGTTGGAAGGTTTCTAAGATGATTAACTTCGGTCCAGATGTCCTTGGCAGATCCCTTAAAAATAAAAAAAATGAGAATGAATAAAGAAAAAATATGTTACCTTGCAGTAGCTGATTTCGTTGTTAAGCTGGTGCTTAACATGGTTAACATAGTTGTAAACCATTGGGAGGGTTACGCAGACCGAGAGGACGGCGACAACCGAAAAGGTGACAGCAGCATAAGCTACGAATCTGTAAGCTTTGACTCTTCCTTCCAAATCCATGTTTCCAAAGGTTGGACTGACTACTCAGACAACGGATGAACCTTATATACCTTTGACGGTATGGGTGGGAATAACTTGTCCTTCTAGGGATGTTCACGCAAAAAGTTGCTGAACACGTATCATCGTAGTGGTGTCTTTTTACAACGCATGAAAAAAAAGTTGTTTATAAGAAGTTTCTAGATTTATTATTGGCTTGAACTTGAAGATTGCGCTGTTATGATATGGAGTTTGGCAGAGAAGATTGGCACGATAAAGTTGCAATTCGTATCTGTCATTGACATGATCTGAAAGGGAAAAAAAACACTTCCTTTTTCGAAGAGATATTATATGATCACTGCTTCATAGAATTAGCTTAAGAAGTTATTTGAACAAAAGAAAACAGAATTTGTTGGCAAGATCGAAATTGTTTCTTTCTTTTGATTGATACTGTCCACATTAAATCACCTAGTTTAGCCTTGAAACATCAGCTTCGAACTAGAGAACATATACAAACCAAACGAGAAATTGTCAAACGGTAATAGTAAAGCTATTGAATAATATAAGTTTGAAATTCAGGTCTATATATATGAAATAGTACATGAACCACACAAATGGATGAATGTTATGCCCCAGCTGTTCCTATATTTACTTTGGGGAAGACCGTGTTGTTAGTGTACCACTTCATCTGTACAGTTCTTCTTCTTCTAAAAATGGTTTATTAATCCATCTTCAGTTAGGTAAGCACTTTTTGTGTTGAAAATAATGTTTTTTCTCTTCAAAAACGGAATTTAAATCATCTGCACGTTTTTTTATTCTTACCTCATACATCCATCGTATAATCTCTTTCCGACAAATTCTTTCTGAAAGAACTCAATGACTTCAGCGGCTTTGTGTCATTCACATCTTTTTTCGGTAAACAGTTGAATTGATTCTCTAGTTGCATTAGTATGTTAGGGCTCTTGCTTATGGGTCACGAAAACATTGACTTTTTTTCAATCAGATTAGCGTTTGATGTCAAATGAATGAGGTTTCAAATCACTTTCTTGCGGAGCCACGAATTAATAATAGAAGTACATTCAAACATTGCAACGAACATGAAGTGTCCCGATTGCATTTTTGAGTTCAGGTGGAATTAATGAGGTGACTGATTTCTAAATGACGTACGTGGGGTTGTATTGCGCACGTCATGAAACAAGCTAAACAATGCCTCTGGCAATTCACTTCCTGCTCCCTATTCATCTTCTTGCTTTTCTCTTGATCTTATTCTCCCTTCTTCAAGTATTGTCGCCAACACTTTCGCGCAATCTAGCTGCTTGTCAACTGGTTTATGAGCTGGAACACGTCAGCACATTCTTGAGCATTCTGTGAATTCACGTTAAGAGAATTTGGGAATGTTTCTACTTATCATATAAAGTGTCTTTGATCACTAATTGAAGAGCTATTCGCAAAAATATTTATGCAAATATTAAGCTGGTAACGGGGGTGCAATATGATGCTTAGATAAAGAGAGAATGAAGAGCAACCGTTCGCTTTCTGAATAACAGCAGAATCTATGTAGTAGTTCAGTAATGCACGTGAAACCACGTGTAGTAAATTAGCATCTACTCGAATAGTCGGAGAATAATAGTTTCTTGGAATTCTTCCGAATGTTTGTGAATGTTAATTCTTTGTTTCTTTCTGCCTAATTTGAAGTTTCGCAATTTCATCACCAGATTATGGGCAGCTTACTCTTCGCTTCGAGCATACTTTAAGACCTGTCCGTTTCGTAATTCGTGGTCATGTAAGCTCCATGATGAGCTCCATGACCTGAGGAGAGAAGACAGTCATCTGGAATTTCCATCATGTAGACTTGTATTTCGGAAGATAATCCCTAGTTCTTCTGTTTTTCTACGAGTGCTAATCATCGTCTTTGTCGTCATTCCCTTAGGTATTCTTTGCTTCGATGTGTATGCTCTATGTCTATGTGTTGATGTCCGTTTTCCGGTTCCGTAGACAGCGTGAGCCTTTTCTTGGAGTACGCCCGAGGGCGGAAACACTGTTGAGCGACAGTCTAACAGACGAAGATGCGAAGGATGGAGGTGGTAGCTCAGCAGCTTGCTGCAGCGCTATTTGGTTGAAAGGCGTTTCTTCTTTGATTCGAGCACCTCAACTATCCAAGCACACTCTCGCCATTGCTGCTCCCCTGAGGGCGCTTCGTCTTTCGCGTTCAGAAGTCTGTCCGGTCCACCTTCAGGTGGTTCTGCGTCATATTCCGCTCTATCTTTCTCTCTTTTCTCTTCGTTTCATTTTATGTGTTAACTGTTTTAATTCTGACCTCTCTTCTTTTCCTATGCATATTGTATCTCCCATCTCACAAAGATAGAGAATAAGAGTCGCTCAATGAGTCTATGTGCCTTCTAGCATACAGTCTTCAAGCCTTTTCCGTTTCTTCTCTTCGTTTTCTTCTGTTTCTTCATAGAATTCTCTTACTTCTTCTTCATAGTGTCTTCACCAATTTCGATCTTTCCTCCACCTACTTCACTTACAGCATTCATCCCATTCATAGCTGTTCCATGATCATGCTACGACAGGTGGTGCTGTCAAGTTTGATACTTGTCAGCGTCTTCGCGCAACAATGTCCTGTTCTACCTACTGGAGGTCCATGTCGATGTGCTCCTTCCATATATGAACCAGTAGCCATTATTTGTTCGAATGCCGGAAGTCTACAAAATGCTCTACAAGCCATTCAAGGTGCCCGTGATATAACAGTTAGTCATAATCAATTTTTCCTCATTTATTTTTTTTACTGTAGATGGATTCCTTAACTATTGTTGATACTGCCATTCCCAATATACCCGCAAATGCTTTCCAAGGATTCACAATCCTCCGACTTGTCTTGAACAGAAATACTCTTCAGAATATTGATGATCAAGCTTTCAATGGAGAATTGATCAATTCTTTGATTGAGCTCGATTTGGTAATTCTAACTTAACATAAGAGATTCAAAATGCAATTTTCAGAATGATAACAACCTTGGTCAAATTCCTCAAACTGGATTACCTCATCTTCGTAATCTTAGAAAGCTTTACCTCAATCGCAATCGTATTAATCAATTGGCTTCAAATGCTTTTAATAATTATGAGAGTCGTGATCTTCTCATTAAATTATCATTGGCCGGAAATAGACTGACTGATCAAACTTTGGGAGACAATGCTGTTTTCCGACCTCTACGACTCCTCCAGGTAGATTCAATCAATTAACTTTCAAGATTCCCTATTGTTAAGGAACTCTCTTTGGAAACGAACTCTCTGAACTCGATCCCAACATCTGCATTGATCAACCAAAGGGAAACCTTGACAAACCTTAATCTGGGTTTGAACAACATCAATGACGTAAGTTTTAATCATTTTCCCTCTTTCATTTCTTGTCTGTTGAACATTTTTTTACCGCATTGTCCACAGGTACCTGTCGGAGCCCTCGACTTTCCGGTTTTAACTTCACTTTCACTAGAATTCAATGGCATCACCGTTATTGTGCCTGAAGCATTTCAGGTATTTTATTTAAGCATTTGCATTGTTATTGCTTTTGCCAAATTCAGAAAGTGCCCAACTTACAATATCTATATTTAACCGGAAATCGATTCCCACAATGGTATCCGGAAATGTTCCGTTACATTGGACAGTTAAGAACATTAGGAATCGGTGAAACACCAATCTCTGTAATTCCAAACAATGCCTTCCAGGTACATTACTTCATTGTGAATGTTATTAACCTTTACTTCAACTTCAGCACGTTCCACTCTTGATTAGACTTGAAATGTCTGAGGCAGCCGTTGATACCATTGAAAGAGGAGCGTTCCAAAGAACTCCTCAAATTCAGGCCATTGTACTGAATAAGAACCGTTTATCTCAGTGAGTTTTAGTTTGATACAAACCCAAGAGCAACATGAACAGAAGCAGTTCACTATCTTTTTAATTTCTCATTCTCTGTTCTTGTTGTCATCTTATCTTGAGTGTGAGTCTGTAGGAGTGCTGGACTGTACGAACGAATGGCTAATCGAGCAAACATTGCAAATCCTTTGGTCGTAGGGGAGCAGCATTGAGAGAAGAATTTTCATTTTTCGATGAGAGAATCAGAGAGTTAAATAAAGGAGAGAAGAGTGGTAGTCAGCATGATATTCAAGAGAGAAGAAGCAAAGAAGCACTGCGAGGAGCAACTTAGTGATGAAATAGGTTGATTGGTGATGAAAAAGAAAAACAGAAAAATAGATGGAATGTAAGAGAGATGGAGTCTCAAGGAAAACTAGAAGATTTTGACCCGCTTGATGACCTTAAAGACTTCTTCAGAAATCTGGATAGCTTACTAAGTATTAAAATCAAACGCACTAATCCGATTGTTCGATTAGAAGAGTGATATGGAATGTTAAAGAGAGAAAATAGAAACTCTTAAGCAAACCAGCTAGTGATTCATGCCTTTTAAGACTCCGAGATGTTTGAGTTCTTTTCTAAGAATATTTTTTTTTCAGAATTCGTGCAGACTTCTTTGAAAGCTTACGTGATCTCTATTCCATTGATGTTCAAGGAAACCGTATTGAAAATGTTCAAAATCTTGGATTTGCTAATCTACCTGCTTTAAGACATTTGGACATCAGGTAAAAAACAATTCTTTATTTGTCTCGAAGAAAAAATCACAATTGATCAAGTGATTCCACTTCAAAATATCTCTGAACCAAATGAAACACTGAAGATAAGGATTATCTGATTTCTTTCAACTATCCGAAATCTTCTGATTTCCTTTGCGTTCATTTTGAATTGTTTGTTTTGGTGGGTCCAGTTAGTGATTTCGTCATATTCAAATAAACAACTTTTGGATTTTTCAGTTGTGCTATTGCTCACCATTTTGCTTTTTTTCTCCTTCTTAGTCCTTATGATTATTATTCCTTTCTTCGTTCGCTCAATCGATCAAGAAATGGCCAAAGATAGTTTTCCTCTTTCACTCTCTATGATTTTGAAAAAAACATTCATTCATAGATCGACCCAATAGTCTAAGGGAATCAGTTTTGAACGACAACCGTTGATTGTTATCCATCCAAACTTGAAAAGCTCTATTCACAGTACATTTCAGTTACAATCAACTAAGAACATTACCACAAGATGTGTTCCTGAACACTTTCGCACCAAGCCCCAACGATCGTCGAGTTATTTACGCCTGTGGTATACTTACATTTTCCAAAAATCAAACTACAATCTAATTTCAGGAAATCCTTGGCTCTGTAACAGTGAATTGGACTGGTTCCGTCAATTGTTGAGAGAAAACTTGGATATCGATATTGATAAGCCAGGATGTGTTGCAGCTTGTACTGGATCTCCTAATGGATGTCCTGCTGACGGAACACCACTCAGGTATATTCATAATGTTTTAACTTATTATATTTATACTGTTACAGATCTGTCAACTTCTGCCCAGAGAATGAAGCTCTACCATTAGAAGGCAACGCATTGTCCTTAGTTGGATGGATCATTCTTGGTATGACTGTCTTCAGTTTCTTTCTTAATGTGTTTTTCATATTGTAGCTGTCATTATGACTATTTTACTCATTAGTATTTGCTTGATGGCTCTGGTTCGTTATGGTGTGAGTCACAAAAGGAAGAAGCAAAAAGATCAGGAAATTGAGGAAGACGTGCGAGCCATGTCATCAGCTGGTCAGTATTTATACAATTAACTTCAAACCAGTAAATAAAGTATTCACGAAGTGCTTACGATATCCTAATAAGCTGTCATTTTAAAAGATTGAAAAGTGTCAACTTCTGTTTGCGAAGCAATGATCTCTTCCTTGTTAGCTCAAAGTCCAAACAGATCACGATAAGCTTATAATGATATTTGTTTGCTCATAACCATTTAAGGGGATCTATTATATCCTGTAATAAACAACACTTTCAGCATCAATGTATGGAGGTGGAATGTCAGTAATGGACCGGCCGTACTCAGCTATTCCACCAGTGAATTTGGATCTTCCAGCCGCACATACTTTGGACGATCGACCAACAAATTATTTTTATTGAAATGTGAAAGAGCTGTAAGAAAAGAAAGAAAGCTCAAATTGTCCACGGGCTGAACTTTTATTTGTATATTTGAAACAAAATAAATATTTTACTTTATTATGTAGTTCTGTTTCATATCCACTCATACTTATTGATTATCACTAAGTGTGAGAAGAACTCATCTTAGAGGGTTTATTGATATCATTGTTTTGTTTGTACTTTGCTCCCGGTGTACCAAACAAGAAAAGAGGAGTTCACAATGAAGGAGGGTGATGAGGGTATTTTGTAATTATTATTTTTCTGTTTTCATTTGCTCTAATCATTTATCTGTTATAAAATGTTCAAGTTCATCTAATTTTTTTTATTGTGAAATATTATTTTTGCATTGGGCATGATAATTAAAGAGGAACTGCGAATGAACGGAGTTCTTCAAGTTTTTTCTGGATCCGCTCTACGTAGAGCAATCGTTTGCTCAAATGGTCTATCGAAGATGTGTATATAGGAATAACGTTCAACTTTATCCAATTTCATTTTCTTTCTTTCATTCAAATCTCACACTAGACTTGTACTCATGTTCATAAAAGACGCTCATGAAGGAACAACCCTTCTCAAACGACACAACAAAAGATGCTCAGAGTGAGTATGTTTTGTAGTTTATTTTGTGTTTATTGGAATCTGTTTGAACTACTTTTATTTCACATGAAACTGTTTCTCATTTTTTCTACCAGCACTTCATTTTGAAGATTCTATATTAGTCCGAGCACGCCCACTGTCTCTTATTTCTTCTTGAACGATGTTATCCTTTCTGCTTCTATGAGATTTTTCTACTTCAATAAGAAAATTCAGTGCGTGAAAGCTGAAGTTGTTGCCTATATCATGTAGTATATGGAACATAAAAAAAACAAAGAAACCGCTCACTTGACGCTGTATGTGAAGAATGAAAAAAAATGAAACACCGCTCACAGCGTTTTCCATGTGAAAAATGAAATACAACTCAGTACTTCTCACGTCAAAATGAAACACCGCTCACAGTGCTTTTCACGTGTAAAATGAAACTCTGTGTGTACCTTCTTACAACGCAACGTCTGCCAACATCGGAATATTATATGAAACATTCCGCAATGAACAAGAAGCTCTGACTTACTTAGGTTCTCCGTATGCATAAGATGTAATAGAAAATGAATTACAAGAGTTGGTTTGTAGTCTGAACTGTAGTCTCAACAGATGAGTTGAACAACTAACGGATGTCACAATTGATTTTTTGTGTTCCCTGTTCGTTGTTTTTTGTAAAATCATCCAAATGGACTGCGTATCTCACCCTTCTTGTCCCTTTAACGAACTTCAATTATTAATTATTTAATTTCAAATTCTTTGGTTTCTAGCTGATGATGTAGATTCATACTTAGGCTTGTAAGATAGGAGATATCGTGAAGGTTATGTTGATTATTTGCTTTTATAATAGAGGAGATTGGAGTTTTGAATGAGTTGGTTCGTTTTTCTTTGACTTATCAGTTGTCTTGTAAGTTCATGATGAGAGTGATTAGAGACAGGGTGATGCGTTTATAAGAGAACAGAATAGGCACTTAGCTGTAACTGATGCCGTTCGAGAGAAATAAGAAACCGTTTGAGAAGCTCCTTGTTTGGGTTTTTGGAATAGAAACCTCAATTACCCTTAATTCAGCTGTTCACTTTTCATTAACTGATCAAGTTCGTAGATGATCATTATTCTGTTCATTGTTGTTTCGGTATCTCTACTAATAGAACTCTTGAGAAGTTTGCTCGTCTAGTTCCCTTCTCCGTTTGAGTTACAAGGAAGATTATATTTATTTATGACTGTTTTATTTTGTAAGGACATGTCAATCTTACAATGGTAGGCATGAGGCTAGTAGAGGATGAGGTCTTCTCAACTCTCTCGATCATTTCATTTTTTGGATCATGGCTATACTTTTTCAATTCAACTCTTTCTGCTCTATCCATATATAGTACGCAATTTCCGTTTTGTTGATGTTGAGAAAAATTTTTTTCTAAAATTTTTGACTTGGTGCGCTTAGCAAAGTTTTTTTTTCTTCAAACTTAGTCTCTATCCCAACATTCTTTTCTCCTAGGT